TACGCGTTTTAATGGGAATGAAGCGGGTATCTGCATCGGGCTGTATCTGTGAAAACGCTTTTTTGCTTTCTCGGTTTTTGGACTGAAAAACGGTTCGGTTGTCTTCTCCTTAAAAAGTCTCGCCTTGAATGTATTAATGAGCCTATACATTAGCGTAAGAATAATTAATATAGAAAGAAATAATGACCTGCGAACCCTCTTCCACTGTCAACTGAGTATGGGTATCTCATCGTGTGCGCACACTGGCAAGCCCCCAAAGGAAAGCTACGTCCGTCCCTTCTCGCACCAGGCTTGGCCACGGCGGTACAGAGGTACAGACTCCCATCCAGCCGGGCCAGACGAGCAGAAAAAAACCGCGGTCGTATGGGCAACAGCAACAGCATCGCGACGAGTAAGACAAAAAAAAAAGCGGGCGGTTAGCTGCATCCTGGCTGCGTCTCCTGTTTCAAGCCAGCAGAAGCCGACAGCCAACCGCTGCCCACCCCCGGCCGCCTCCCGCTACATCTTGACGGAAACAGATCCCCCTCGTCTGCATGATTATTCTCTGTGTGCGTAGACTGTGTAGTCAAAGCTGAAGGCAAGAAGGGGATGAAGTTGGAGTCTGGGTTGCGGGCCGGGGGCGGTTGGCGCAGAGGTCGACGTTGGTTGGTCGGGCGGGAAGAAGAAAAGAAACCATGCGCATCACTTGGACAGCGACTAGTTATAAGATGAATAGCAGGAGAAGAGTAGTTAGAAGAAGATGACGGCGAAGATGAAGATGAAGAACGCTCTTTAAACGGCCAGGGAAGAAAAAAGAGTCGAGAAGGCGCTGGCTGGTCCACCGTCCCTTGAATCCCTCCATAATAATAATTCATAATAATAGCTCTCCTTTATTTGTTATCACCCCCATCGCCACAGCAGAGAAGGACTGGCTGGCAGTGAAGCACCAGCGCAGAAGAAAAGCAGGCTTGGTTCTTGTCTTGTTTCTTCTTCTTCTTCTTCTTCTTCTTCTTCTCGTCATTCTTATTATTATCATTGTCCATCACCTTCTTCTTGGTGAGACAGCAGCTGGTTGACTTTGTCCACTCTGTGCTTCATTACGCAAGTCGTTTCCTTCCGTCTGCAGTCTCTGCTGCCACTCGCTCGAACGTCTTCTATCTTCTGTCTTCAAGTCCTTCGCTTCTCTATTACCCCAATCTACGGATAAGACGCTCGTTACGGGGGACTCGTCGCCGTCATGAACGTCAACAAGAAGCTCGGCCGCCTCAAGCAGTGGGCTGGAGAGAGGATGGGCGGCGAGATCAAGACCAACGTCTCGGACGACTTCAAGCTGCTCGAGATGGAGATGAACCTCAGGCAAGAAGGTAGGCTGAATGGACACCAACTACTCTTCGTACTCGTTCAGATAACTGGTGATGCTAACGATTTGGCAGGAATGGAGCGTCTGAACAAGGCCATGGCGGCGTATGTCAGGGCCATCTCGAAGCGCAGCGAGGGCGAGGACAAGGAGAAGCTCTTCCCAATTGGAAACTTGGGCGGCGTCATGGTCGCGCATGGCGAGGACTTTGCTAGCAACTCCGAGTACGGCCAGTGTCTTACTGGTAGGTTATCACCTGCTACGAGTCTGGGTACACGCAGATACTGACGGACTACAGCATTTGGGCGGACAAACGAGCGAATCTCCAGGATTCAGGAGCAGTATGTCGCAGCTGCAACCTCTAGCTGGCTAGAGTCTCTGGAACGGTCTCTCAACCAGCTAAAGGAGTACCAGGTAGGATATCCTCTTTCATTTCACTTTTTACAGATCCCTTTCTAATAATACATGAGTAGGTGGCTCGCAAGAAACTGGAGAACCGGCGGCTGGCGTATGATACCTCCCAGGCAAAGATGCAAAAGGCCAAAAAGGAAGATTTCAGGGTCGAAGAAGAGCTCCGGTCGCAGAAGGTCAAGTACGAAGAGGCAACTGAAGAAGTCCTTCGTCGCATGATGGATATCAAGGAGTCCGAGCCTGAGTGCACCGCAGACATGAGCGCCTTTCTCGATGCACAGTTAAACTACCATGAAAAATGCCGCGAGGTTCTCCTCCAGCTCAAGGACGAGTGGCCTGCTGGGTACGTCTCTACCCCTACTTTTTCTTTTTCTTCTTCTTCTTCTTCTTCTTCTTCGCGCACCTTTTTTGTGCCGTGATAACTAACTATACCAGACCAACGCAGCAGTTCAACTCGTACGGCTGCCGGTCAATCCTGACCCGCTCCAACACCTCTTTCAACGACCAAATGGCAGGCGAGGACACGTACCAGTCCTCTTCCCAGCAGTCAGGCACCTCCAGGTCTCGCGAGCCCTCGCGGCCGGGCCTGGGTGGGCGTCAGCCAACCTTCGAGGGTCCAACGCAGCTCCGTACCAGGAGACCGTCTCCCTCCCCTGCGCCAGCCCTACGAACCCCCCTCCGAACCGCGAGTGATAGCATCTCTCCGGCCACGATTGGCAGTAGTGCGGCTGGCATAGCTAATGCACGCTCACAGCTGCGTGTTATAAGCCAGGGGTACAATGGCGGCGGCGGCACCAATTATAATAACACTCACAACGACGGCTACTACGACTCTACCACGGACGACGGGGCGTCTCCTATCAGGAACAGTCCAGACCAGTACTATAGTTCCACCAGCACGTCTCCCTTGCGGACTGTACCGGCGTCAGGCCAAGTTCCCACACCAGCGTCGGGTTCAGGGTCAGGCACCGCGACGCCCGTCAAGAAGCCGCCGCCTCCCCCTCCGCCATCAAGGTCGAAGAAACCCCCACCACCTCCCCCGCCACCAAAACGCTCCGTCTCTGCTTATGCGGTGTAAACTCACCGTCTTCTTTCTCTTTTGTCTTTCTTCTCCATCTTGGACTGGGTCTGGGTGGTCAGGCAGTGTCTTTATATCTGGAGTCTGGTGTTATCTGTCTCTGGCTCTCTGGTCTGGTCTGGTCTCTGGTGCATGTCTAACTGTAGCTGGCCTATCCCCATCCCTCACTATCACTATCAGTACTATCACTGTTACTATCACTGTTACTCTCTCTCTATCTCTCTTTCGTCGTAGCTTATTAGAGTCCGGAACACCAAAAAAAACTGCCCATCGTCCGTTTTAGGAAACACTTTAAATTTAAGCTTATCTGCACATCGGCAGAGCCTCATCCTAACCTCCTCCTAACCTCCTCTCTTTTCTCTATCATGATATCTAGTCTCTCACTCTTCTACTTCCACTCTCTGCTTCACACCTGGCTCTCTGCCTCTGCTCTGCTCTCATATATGCACCCTCCGTCTCCCCCTCCACCTGCCTCCACCATCACGTGCCTTACTAAGCATCACGTGGACCACCTAAAACTCTGCCCGTCCGCCCTTCCTTCGCCTTCTTTCTCGCCTCTTCCTGCTTCGCTGCCGTCTTTTTCCCTCCCCTTGCGCTTCGTCTGCCCATAAGCAAAAAAAAAGAAGGCGACCCGAACCACCGCCGGATCAAGGAGAAACATCCAGCGCGCCCTCGCCCTCCACATCGTCCGCTCCGCTACGCTCCCTGCACCGCGCGACGCCTGCCCTTCCACCCTTCCGCATTACCCTCTCGCTCGCTCTCTCGCTCTCCCTCCCTTCAGCTGTCTTCTTGCCTGCACGCCCACGCCCAGGCGGCCACGGCCACGGCCACCAACCCTCTCCCATCTCCGGTCCTCGCCGCATAGCTAAACCTGCCCATCTGCTACCGCGCAAGCTAGAAGGCCAAAAACGTAAAAATATACAGAACGCCGACGCGACGATCAGCGATAACCGCCGTCCACGCCCACCCTCGACTGCCTCTCTTCACTCTCTATCGCGTCTGCCTTGCTTGCTCACCGGCTGGCTATGCTCTCCCTCGCCACTTGCTAGCCAGGGCACCGTCTGTCGTTATTCTTATATATTTTTTTCTCTTCTTTTTTGCATATCTTTTAAAGGATTGCCGCGCCTTTTTGATGAAGAGCTCTGCTAGCTCAGCATAGAATATTCAATCATGGCGTCTGTCCAGCAGTCCGCCAATATGCCGCAGCAGAATATCGGCCTGCCGCCAAACCTCACTCCCCAGCACATCCAGGAGGTTTACCAGGTATGTTGCTATATACTATCAAAAGGAGGGCAGAAAAAAAAAATATGATACTGACCTCTTGAAGAAATTCCGGCAGATGCAAGAACAAGGTGTGCGCCATGATGACCCGGAATACCTTAAAGCTCACAATCTGCTGTCTGCCGTCCAGCGGCAACAGGCGTACCAGAAGCAGCGCCAGATGCAGATGCTTCATGCGCAGAGACAGCAGCAGCAACCTCAGCCGCCTCAGCAGGTCCCCCAGGCTGCTCCCCAGGCTCCCCAGCAGCTGCAAGGGCCGCTAAATGGCGTTGCTGAGCCCAATGGAACTGATGGTAAGACCTTGATCTTTTCATCCAGCTTTCTCTTTTTTATCTTTCACCTCCTCTCATCTGTCACATTCATCTTGGATTTTGCGCAAATGTTGGGACAACGCGTTGCTAACGGTGTCAATGTAGCAAATTCTGCCGTCCCCAGTGCTAGCACCCCGAGTCAGAAAGGCGCCTCTCAAGGATCGCAAAGCTTCACGCCAGAACAGCTGGCCACCTTGAGAAATCAGATACTGGCCTTCAAGATGCTCTCCAAGAACCTGGCTATCCCCCAGCGCGTCCAGCAGCAGCTTTTTGCAAAGAAGGCCACAGGTGTTGACGGCGTTCTCAGCTCTGACCAGTCAGTAGACGGCACTGGTCGCGATGTATCTGGCGAAGGTGAAGCCGCTGTCGAGAAGCTCAGAACCATGTTCGAGACCTTCAAGAATCCCTATGACATCCTCGGCGCGACTATTAATTACAATGACCATGCCGTGCGCCGGAATCGGCTGAGGCTGCCTTGCATAACTCCCATGGGTATCGATCTCGACAAGGTCCGCGAAGACCGGGAAATGATTCTATACAACCGTATAAATGCTCGAAAGGCAGAATTGGCCAAACTGCCTGCCAATCTCGGTGCCTGGGACAGTGGTGAAGGAGATTCACCCACCGTTGATGACTCTCTCAAGCTCAAGGCCCTCATTGAGTACAAAATGCTCAACTTACTCCCCAAACAACGTGCGTTCCGTAGGCAGATCCAGAACGAGATGATGCACTTCGACTACCTTGCCATGTCTGCCAATCGACCGGCCCATCGTCGCATGAAGAAACAGTCCTTGCGTGAAGCCAGAGTCACCGAGAAGCTCGAGAAGCAGCAGCGCGATGCCCGTGAGACCAAGGAGAAACAGAAGCAGTATAACCAGCTGCAGGCCATCCTTAACCACGGTGCTGACGTGCGCAATGCTGGAACAGAGCAGCGTGGCCGTATACAGAAACTTGGTCGTCTGATGATGGCTCACCACACTCACCTGGAGCGTGAGGAACAGAAACGAGTAGAACGAACTGCCAAGCAACGTCTCCAGGCTCTTAAGGCAAACGACGAGGAAACGTATATGAAACTGCTTGGTCAGGCCAAAGACTCCCGTATTTCCCACTTGCTCAAGCAGACAGATGGCTTCTTGCGGCAACTTGCTGCTTCCGTTCGTTCTCAGCAGCGCATGACTGCAGAACGTTATGGAGACGAAGACCAAATTGAGACCGATGAGGACATAGGCGACTCTGACGAAGAGGAAGAGAGCCGAAAGGTTGACTACTACGCCGTCGCCCATCGTATCAAGGAAGAAGTCACTATCCAACCGAGCATCCTTGTTGGTGGTACACTCAAGGAATACCAGCTCCGTGGTCTAACCTGGATGATCTCCCTTTACAACAACAACCTTAACGGTATCTTGGCCGACGAGATGGGTCTCGGTAAAACTATCCAGACCATCAGTTTAATCACCTACCTTATCGAAACCAAGAAGCAAAACGGCCCATACCTCGTCATCGTTCCCCTGAGTACCCTGACCAACTGGAATCTCGAATTCGAGAAATGGGCCCCGTCTATCACTCGTATTGTCTATAAGGGTCCGCAGGTAACCCGAAAACAACACCAGCAGGCCATTCGATGGGGTAATTTCCAGGTCCTTCTCACAACATATGAATTCATCATCAAGGATCGTCCTATTCTCAGCAAAGTCAAGTGGTTACACATGATTGTTGATGAAGGTCACCGTATGAAAAATGCGGGATCGAAGCTGAGTTTCACCCTGACAAACTACTACCAGTCCAGATACCGTTTGATCTTGACTGGAACACCGCTGCAAAACAACCTTCCTGAGCTGTGGGCTCTGCTCAACTTCGCCCTCCCCAACATCTTCAAGTCCGTCAAATCGTTCGATGAATGGTTCAATACCCCGTTCGCGAATACAGGCAGTCAAGACCGTATGGAGCTTACAGAAGAAGAACAGCTGCTCGTCATTCGTCGCCTTCACAAAGTCCTTCGTCCATTCTTGCTCCGTCGTCTCAAGAAGGATGTCGAGAAAGATCTTCCCGAGAAGCAAGAACGTGTCATCAGATGCAGATTCTCTGCCCTACAAGCCAAGCTGTATAAGCAGCTTGTCACTCACAACAAACTTGCTGTCAGTGACGGAAAGGGTGGAAAGACTCCTGTGCGTGGTCTGAGTAATATGCTCATGCAACTGCGTAAGCTCTGCAACCATCCGTTCGTCTTTGACTCGGTAGAAGAAGAGTTGAACCCCGGCAAGGCTACAAACGATCTTATTTGGCGTACTGCTGGTAAATTCGAACTGCTCGACCGAATCCTTCCTAAATTCTTTGCTTCGGGCCATCGTGTCCTCATGTTCTTCCAGATGACACAGATCATGAATATCATGGAAGACTTCATGCGGTTCCGTGGCATGAAGTATCTCCGGCTGGATGGTGCAACAAAATCAGACGACCGATCCGACCTACTGAGACGCTTCAACGAACCCGGATCAGAGTATTTCTGTTTCCTCCTCTCTACCCGTGCCGGTGGGCTGGGTCTAAACTTGCAAACCGCCGATACCGTCATCATATACGACTCTGATTGGAACCCTCACCAGGATCTGCAGGCTCAAGATCGTGCTCACAGAATCGGTCAGAAGAATGAAGTCCGTATTCTCCGACTGATTAGTTCCAACTCCGTTGAAGAACGAATCCTCGAGCGTGCCCAGTTCAAGCTCGACATGGACGGCAAGGTTATCCAGGCCGGTAAATTCGACAATAAGTCTACCAACGAGGAACGAGACGCGCTGCTGCGTACTCTGCTTGAAACCGCCGAGAACGCAGACCAAATTAACGACCAGGACGAGATGGATGATGATGACCTGAACGAAATCATGGCCCGATCTGAGACCGAGTTTGCCCTTTTCCAGAAAATTGACGCGGAGCGTCAGAAGACTTGCGAGTACGGCCCGGGACACAAGTTGCCTCGTCTCCTTGGTGAAGATGAGTTGCCGGACATCTATCTAACCGAAGAGAACCCCACAGCTCCCGCGGTTGAAGAAGTTGCGGGTCGTGGTGCTCGTGAGCGCAAGAACGTGAAATATGACGACGGTCTGACGGAAGAGCAATGGCTAACGGCTGTTGACGGCGATGAAGAAACGCTTGAAGAGACAATCGCAAAGAACGATGCCAGGATGGAACGGCTCCGAGCCAACCGTGAGAAGCGCCAGAGAAAGGCACAGGGTCTGGACTCTTCCCCTGAACCATCTAGAGAGACATCCGCCACGCCACAGCAGAAGAAACGCCGCAAGGGACCAGTCCCTAAACGCAAGGCCGATGAGCCAATTGAAGATGCCCCCGCGAAGCGCAAGAAAGGAAAAGCCAACAAGGCTGCGGACTCACTCACAAACACCGAACGAGCCACGTTGCAGCGAATACTCAACAGTGTCTACCAAACACTGATGGACCTTGTGGAGGACGTTCCTGCCGATTCGGAAGACAGTGATGATGAGCCCATGACTCGTTCTGTCATCGAACCGTTCATGAAGCCACCGCCCAAGTCACAGTATCCAGACTATTACATGATCATCCAGACGCCCATCGCCATGGACATGATCAAGCGGAAAATCAATCGTGAAGAATACTCTAATCTCAAGGAGTTCCGCGAGGACATTCGTCTTCTCTGCACCAATGCCCGAACATACAATGAAGACGGAAGCTTACTCTTCCAAGACGCCAATAACATCGAGGTATGCACCGCAACCAGTCCATTATTTCATTCATGTTGATACTAACAAGCTATTTAGGCCACCTGCACTGCCGAACTAAGAAAAGAGACTGAAAAGCACCCTGAATTTGCTGATTTTGACGACTCCGGTTCATCTGTGGGAGATGAATAGTTTACTTTCTTCTGGTTCTATTTTGCTCTGAGTTCATCTTACTAACTAGCTGATTCACTTCTCTGCGGTTCTCTGGCTGGCGTTGGCGCTCCGCTTGTATAATGTATCCAGTTCTTCGGCCTTTGTTGTGCTTTTCTCTATGCTTTTCCATGTAGAGTAATATTATAAATTAAAATCATTTTAACTCGTCTTAATATTTGCAGTACCATGAGACATTTTTCTCAGACTTTCTTCCTCCTGAGTTGTGAACCCTTTTCGATGCCTGGGACCGATTCATTACTTTTAGACACGAACATACCCAGCTCAACTAGCAGTCAACACATGCAGAGAGGTAGCTATTGTGCCCAAGTTACTCGACGGGACTCTTTCACGGGTCGAAAGAATGGAATATTTTTGTGTGACTACGTTTTATGTTGTTTTCGTTGGCAACTCTTCTTAGAATGGCCATTCCATAGCCTGTATTAACGTATGTCCTTATATATCTTACGTATTCTCTGGAAGGGGCACATTCTAAGTTACAATAGATGGAGAATTACTTTCTTCAGGCATGTCCCCGCTGGATGGTGTATTCCTGGACACTGGCTGGGATGAGATTTGCTTTGCTCTGACAATATCGATCATGCGGGTGCCGAGCTCTTCGGCACCATCAATCTTATCGAGCTTTGCTTGAAGCAGCTCTGCATCTCGCAGAAGCCTGCACAATGGTTTAGTCCATCAACAACTTATCCTCAGAGGTAAAGGCTCACCTTGATTTCCCATTCTCAGTCCGTATCACCGCATCTTCAAATGCCTTACTCCATTGTTCCCTGTAGCTCTCAAATACCTGTCCAATGATCATACTCATACTAGACCCCGGAAGATACTTGCTCAGCACTCGTTGTAGCGTGAGCGCTTCCTTCGTGAGCGTCTCCATATGTGGGCTGACGCTCCGCTGTATCTCGTCTTCGTCATCCCATTTGATCTTCTCCATCTCCCTGATGTACAGGGTTGCGCGAAAACTCATTATGTTGATGAGCTTGTGGTGGATAGAGGACCGATGGTCTTGAAATAAGCGCTTTAGCTGGTCGTACTCTGCTAAGCCAGATGTTGCAATTGATGGTCGACGGCGGATAGACTCGCGTAAGTATGGTATCAGAGTAATGAAGAACGAAAGTGATTGTGAGGTAAGAGAAAGGTGCTTGGTATTGATGTTAGTTAGTCCAGCGGTGGTTCTAGCGCCAGCACCGAGGATGAGCTCTTGTGTGCGAGAGTTGTAGAGTGTGAGATAGTCGAGTAGGGCCATCGAGATTTCATTGGCCATACTGGGGATCGATGCCAGGAGGATTAAATATTGCTCTATGCCGCGAAGTGCGAATGCCGCCGAATCGACAAGCATAAACTTCTCCTCATCAATGACTGCCAGTGCCGGGTCCTTCTTATTTTGTTTAGCAGTATTCGAAGACTCCTCATAGTTAGTTTGTAAATTCCGTTCACCTGTTTCTAGGGCCGCCGTAGTGACATCTGTGTAACTAAGCCACACCGAGGAATCAATGGTCATGGATTGGACCACGCGTTCCAGAATCAATGCGTCCTGGGGTTTGAAATTGACCGGCTCCCACCTCTCAGTCTCCATCTTCTGCGCTAGTTTCTGCTTTTCTACTTCGTGGAGAAGTGGGATAAAGTCGTGAATTTGCTTGTTCACGACACCCCTGAGAGCCGTTCCAGAGTGCCCAGAGATTGCCTCGCATTCATTGATAAACAGGCGATTCAGTGTAAAGTAGCGTAGGAATTCAGTTGGTCCAAGGCGAACCGTTTGCTCGGTTCTGACACGCAGAACTTTTGTCATTTCTGACTCGACCTTGTCCACTGCTTGTACCAGGAGGCTCGACATATCAAGGGTTTGCGTCATGTCTTCCTGTAGATTACATCTCTCCGAAAGGCTAGACGTGAGTACATTGCTTGGACTCTTCTTTATACCGCTTGTGATATCGAGGAGAACTTTGATCTGTACACTAAGCCTCCGTAATGCCTCACCTACTCCGCAGTAGACCTTGACGAAGAAGACATGGGCATCCTCAGGGCTGAGAGCACGCAAGTTGCGAGACAGAATGCTCGACCTTTCCTGCTGGCTCGGACGTCGACCGCTTGTCAGCGTAGGGGCAGACACCATAGATCCACTACCGCCACCCGTAGAACTAGGAAGGTGCCGGCGAATCAGAGACTTCATCTCTCGAATAACGGCTTCGCGAAATGTGGTACTTGCCGCAGCAAGATACTGCGACTGGCCAAGTCCCTGCAAAACAGGGACGAGTTCCTCACGCAATTTTTCTGCAGTCGTCATGGGTGCAGGTGTCGATAGGGAACTATGTGTGCGTTTTGAGATATCAGTCCAGCGCGACAGGGTATCTCTTGGCGGAATACTGGATACATGTTGGCGGAGATTGCACAAAAGGACATGCAGCAATCGTGCTTCATATCCCTTCCATATCCGCAGGCGAAGTTGGCCGATGTTTTGCAATGGGTCTTCAAGGACGTGCAGTTGGCGTAGATCGATAAGCCTGGTAAATGAATTCGGCAGAAACCAGCACAACTCACTGCCGATTTTCGGATCCAGTGTTCCGGATACAAGCTGTGCGACGTATGAGATATGTTGTATAGCCGTCTCCAGTTTTCCAGAGTCTACGAGCTCCTCACAATGGCTGACGCCGCGGAGAACACATTGAAGTTGCATGATGGCCTCTCCAAGTTTCCTTAGATTGTCCTGTCTTCTCTTCATTCTGATGATCTCGAAACCGTGCTCTATCATTGCATTGTCCAGATGTACGAGGTCCTCCCTCAATTTCTGGATCTTCGTGACGGAGTGGGATACCTCGGCCTGAAGTTCACGAAGGGAGCCGAGCGCGGCAATAAAAGAGGTTGACGCTTTCGAAATCGAACATATTAAATAAATCTCTATGGTGTCCATGTACCACGATAATTTTTCTTGCAATATGGCATTGGTAGTAAGCGCCTTTCTAGCAGGCTGAAGATCGCCATTTGCAGAAAAGCCATCTGTGTCCTTATTACGGTTTCCAATAGTGGATAGTGGCTGCCGTACCACCTCCGCATGCTCACTGACAGCATCAAATGTGCGCGGATTCTCGAGGCGAAACTTTTCATCGAGATAGATGGAGGGAACTGTAGACAGTGGAGTAGGTGCAAGTTGACCGCGTTTCGAAACACCTGCCTTTACCTTTTCTCGTGGTGCAAACTCTTCATGTTTGTCAGTGGATGTGCCTTGACGAAACAACTGTGTGCCGCGGTTTTCGTACTCAAGCTTCATACGCTGGAGAGTGTCAAACAGGGGCCCGATCTGGCTGAGGTAGTTTTTAAAAGCCAAGGGCTCGACGTGGGGTATAGTGGTGAGAGCAACGGGAGGTATGTCCCTGGACGTCGGCGGTTTCTGCGAAGTTGAAGGGGCTGCGGTGGGAGGAAGGGTCCCAGTGCGTGATATCGGCGGTTTAAGGAGTATATATATCGCTTCGAGAATCGCCAATAAATCGGTTTCATGTAATCTCGGCTCTGAGCTTTACCTACCATTTTGACCTGGCTCTGCTATTGTACTCATTCGCCTGTGAGTGTAGCCGTAACTGGAAAATGCGTCTTCTGCCCTTGGTGAAAGCGACACCGCAAAGGAATGGGAGCTCCCTGACTTGCCGCTTGAGAGAGTTGACATGATCGCCCAGCGTAGGTAGCGCTTGCGTTACGAAAGACACTGTCGCTAGGAATTGCCAAGGGTAGAATGGAGGTAGCTATGAGTTAGTGGAGGTTGAAGGCAGTCGTTAATAATGAGGCTGAACAACAGAGTTTAACTTCCATAACTAGGTTATTATGTAAGAAGTTTGTGGAGATGAAGTGGGTCGATGGCTGTCTGTCCTCTTTCGTGTACAACAACACAACTTCGTCGTTGTTACCTTACATTCAGCATTATTAGACTAAAAAATGGTGGCATTTTTCATCATTATATTATGGACTCTGGGGCTATTACCAAAGTCATGCTTCTCCGTTATTCGGTTATTATGTTGAGATATATATCGGGAAGACATGAAAACAGCACCAGCCCAAAACTCTAGACAGAGTGCTCAAACAAATGCAAGGCAACTCTATAGCTCCTTCTCACTCGGCTTAATTTTGTTGAGAATAATATCCAGGTTTTGTTCACAAGCCTTGCTCTCGTTCTCCACTATCTCCTGATGCCTCGAGCTACGAATGCCAAAGACTGCATCGAAAGGCAGCGGCTGCGAGTCCGGGCTCTGTGACACATTGTCCGGATCAATCTCCTTTTTATTTCCAGCCTCATCATAGGCATATTCGAAGTTGTATGCCCAGAGCATCCGTGATATCACTGAGAAGAGTGTATCGCGGACAAGATACTGCCCTGGACAAGCTCGTCTACCGAACCCGAACTGACAGGTTGGCAGCGCAGAGTCATCGATCCATCGCTGCGGCCGGAAGTTGCTGGGGTCACCGAAGATTTCCTCATCGTGCTCGAGTGACCAGTGGTTGGCTGCCACAGGCGTGCCCTTTGGAATCCTGTAACCCATGTACTCGTCATCCTCAATGACTGCGTGAGGCATCCCGGTGACGGCGATGGGCCTCCATCTCTGAATCTCGGCTATAAAGGCATTGACATAGGGCAAATTCGGCATATCGTCGAAAGTTGGCAGCCTATCGGGCCCTACAACTCGGTCAAGCTCTTCTTGTGCCTCCTTGACGGCATCCCGATGCAATACGCTTGCCATGACGAAGACGCACAGGGTCATCGGAACAGCGTGGCCGGCTTCAAAAAGGTCTGCAGATGTCACTATTATATCTTCTTTGTCGATGTTATTCATCTCTTTTTCCCCGGCTAAGGCTTTGCACCAATTCCATGAACGTGACATAAGTGCCGTATCTGTGAGCTGTTCAAGCAACCTCTCCTGATTTTTAATCGCCTTTTGTGATCTGGCTTTCCATTTGCCAAAGCTCAATACTTCAGTTAACCATGGAAAAGGTTCCACCACATGGTTACGCTGGAACGCGTGTTCGACAGCGGTGATATTCCCGATATATTCTTCTTGATATCGTTCTCCCAAGTCTGCAATTCTCCGGCCATACATCAAAACGAGTAGAAGGTTAGCGTGGTAGAGCTCGAAGATGTCAAAAAACTCGCTTCCTTGCAAAAGAATCTTGAGCAAAAGGTGCTTGCTTTCGATATCCTGGAGAACACGATATCGTTTCGTCATACTAGGCTTGACAAGAGCCGTCTGTATACGGTTTCGCTGTTTCCACCTCGGCCCGTATGGTAGGAATGTTATCGACTTGCCGCCAAACCCATAGTCTCCTAGTCCGGCAAAATGGGGACGTGAGCTGTAGATACCTCCTCGTCTATCCAAGAGATCTCTGGCTGATTTGTGCGACCCGAGCAAAATCATCGTTTTCAGTCCGCATTTGACTGTGATTACAGGGCCATACTTGTCGTGCCATTCCTTATACGTCTTCCACCGGAAGTTCTTAGGTATCTGATGCAGGTTACCTATGACTGGCAGCGACGGGGGTCCGGGAGGGAGAGGAAGATGGTGGCTGAAAAATCGAGAGGCAAAATAATAAACGGCCAGGCTAATACAGACGAGAGCCAGCAAGGAAAGCATTTTTTATCGTTTTATTTTTTTTTGTGCTCCAAACCTTTCTCAATGGTATGAAAGGCCGTCTGAGGGGAGGGATCCTTGATCTTCTGAGCCTAAAAGTTCTCATAATTATCAAAGATATCAAAGAGGTCAGAGAAACTTCTATATACGGAGTACCGATCTACTCATAGGATGTTACATGTTTCTTGATCTCCAGCCAATATTTGGGGAATGGGGACGTCTTAATCTAGCCTGGCTGATATTTGGGAAAATTACGGGTGGTGACTGGCTGGCTGGCTTGACCAACTCAGTGGTGGTTTCCTGCATGAGTCTACTCCACTGGGGGCGCATCTGGTCGAATAGATCGAGGCTAAGTACAGGGTGGGAGATAAGCGATCACTCCCTGTATAAGTTGGGCGAAGAACAAACAATAGATGCTGTGCGCCCACTGTATGAACTTGGTTGCACCAGCTGTAATATTGAGGGTCTCTTGGTCCATCAAACTGCGGCCAGAGTATTCATTACTACATAGTGACAAGCCTCGGGGGATGGGCTTGCAAGCCCACTTTCGTACAAAAGCCAATTCAATTATGCGGTGTGACCTGTCTTCTTCCGCTGCAGAGGCGGAGGAAGATAGGAGGTATTAGTAAATTATTACTGCCCTCCGGAAACTGAGGGCTGGGCCTAAGGAATGTAGATAGTATATTAATTATATTAGAGAGATAACAACGGAAAACTAGTCCCGACACTCTCAAAAAACGGCTTTGTCTTCCAAACCAGTTTACAAAATGGCAATTATCAACCAGTGTAAACATCAGCATCACTCACTCGCTCCAGAGGCATGGTTTCTAGCTTTACTGCCGGCTTTTGTATCTCATCCTGATCTCTGGGTTCAGGATTCCGACGGCATCCACATATATATTGAAATCTGGACATTTGCCATCTTCATGTGCCAATTCTATGTGATACCCCAAGAGTATCTTTGCGGCCATGACCTGGCACAGCCTGGTCCCCAGTAGCCTTGCGGGACATGACGAGATTCCAAGTCCGAAAGACACCCATTGTTCATTGGGTGAGATCGTATCGCGGAGGATGTCGCTGGCCGTTAAATCAGGCTTATAGAAACGATTGCCGTCGAATCTTGTAGGATCTGGGTAGAAGTCGGGGTCTAGATGGGTAAATGCACCCGATGTAGTGAGGTTCGTTCCAGGGCCGAAGGTCATGCCAAGTGATTTGATTGTCACTGGCTCCTTGACAATTTGACGACTACCGGCAACTACACAGGCTGTGATTAGCGTAAGAATTCAAGGTGACAACATTGTTAGCACAACTTACCCATATTGATGCAGTCCATGCGAAGGACCTCCCTACTGAAGCTCTCAAATCTCGGGGTGTGATTGAAGAGATCGAAGTTCCATTTGCCATCATTCAATTTCAGGGCCTGTTCCAGCTCCAATCTAATCGGCTCGAGGAACTCTCTATGGCGTAACAATCGGGCAATGAAGGCGGCTAGGATCATCGTTGTGGGTTCAACCGCTTCAAAGAACATGAACATAGTCTCATCAGCCATCATATCAATATGATGTTCTTCATCCTTCGTAACTCCATTGCGGCTGAGGGGTCCCTTTTTTAGCGCAATTTCAATCATTGAGCTGGCATAGAAGTGGTCATCATTGGTTGGTGGACTCGCTCGTTTCTGCTTAAGGAGACGTCTAAGTTCTGGCACGATCGTCTTCTTCATTGATTTCATAGATGATCTGATCTGATGACACTCAGGTGCGAATAATTCCAGAAGCGGCCCCATTATCCGTGGCATTGACTCGTAAAGATGTGTACGTGCTTCAACTTGGCCGACGTAATCACCCATTTGTTTTGCAAGTCCTGCATCTCGCCCAAAGCCAGGATGGAAAACAAGGAGAACCCCCGTGTCAATTAGAACCTGAAGTGATACATTGAAAATAGTGTCTTCGTTCCAGCCTATCCTTATAGTTAGGGGTCCGAACCACTTCAATTTGTGCGGAAGCAATACATACTCTTCGATGAGCCCATGACTTGGCTAATGCTATTATCTGCCTCCTTCACGAGAAGAGGATCTAGCTTTTCTACAGATGGCGAAAGATCAACCAGAGTTCTCATGAAAAAAAAGGTGCGTGGGGGGAGCTTACTCAAGGCGCTCGGCTTGTTGCAGGCTTGCATGGCTTCGACGGGAACCTTCCAGGCTGCATCCAGGATATGGTTGAAGTTGATTTCCTACATATCAAACCGTTGAGCCAACCTGGCTGCATAGAGTTGGAGATATACATGGGCACTAGCACATACATCTGACATCATGTGCCTCATGCTCAGGTTATCTTTCGGTAAGTTGAAAAATTCTTTGCCACAGTGATGAGGAAGGACTATCATATCGCCTGAGCCTCCCGGCAGAGGCACGGCCCAAGGCTTGCCCTTTTTGCTATACTGATACGAATGAGTAAGAGGGAACCATAACAGAGTAGCTCTTGGGCAAGGGAGTTGTATGTATTACCTCGGTATACCCGCGAGCGAATCCTTCCATGTAGTTATGGCCGGAGCTCCTTAGTCGGAGGCGGGGACTGAGGTAACTCGTATCATCCATGAGAGTGATGTTGCCGAGGAATCTCCTTCGTTTCCAACCATGGTGATAATCCACCGCAAAGACGAAAAGTATACCTGTGGCTACTAAAGCAAGCACACTCCCTAAAAGGGGCAGGGCAATAGCCCGGGGCAATAACAGCCCGTCCTCAAACAATCCAAGCATGCTTCCTCTGCCTTTAGAGTGTCTTCAGAATAGATTGCAGGTATGAATGAATGAGGGTATGAGGTGAGATGTCGACATAAAACATGAGAAAATTCCATTTCTAAAGTATTAAAATGGGTAGGTTTTATTTTTCATACCCAGTTCATGTCGGCTTAGCAGGTATTGGAAATTGGCCTGGTCGGAAAAATAAGCCGCTACTTTGGGTTTGTTGGCTTAGTTATGGACCAAATTTGGTCCTCATTCAGGACTTTTCTTATCTTCATAATATTTCTGTGCGTATAAAAATGGAGCACGAATGAGAGGGGTATGCCACAAGTATCTGGGGTGTTAAGTGACCACCAGTTGTATCATTGGCACCAGCTTGGAGCATAAGCCTATTCCTTTCGTACCACATTTCCGATGTTATTGGTATCGGCGAGGATCTTCTCCTTCCCTGCAGGACAGGCTGAAATGGTAGAATCCAGATTGTGGCAACTCATTGATATATCCAAAAGGGTGATGCTAACTCGAGTATACGTGTTACCGGGGTGGCTGCAACGCACCTTGCACGAGTTTCGCCCAACAAAAAGAATACTCCGTACGGAGTACTCTGTGGTGCAGTGTAAGGTAGGATAAAACAGCGTAATTCAATCAGCGATTCTCATCCGCGCTCTGGGCGTTCGAAGAATAGAGCAGCCTGAAGTACTCCGTACTCCGAACCCCAAACCTCCATCCATAGCTGGTTCATTACGTGGCTCCAGGGGGTCGAGATTCCAAAATAGCTGCACGCCGTGGTCTCTGTGGGCGTGATGAGTCCACTCTCATGGGCTTGCTGTACGGAGTAAGATATTCTCCAAAAAAGTGCCGTTAACGCCAGCGACGGACGATCACCACAAGCTTCAGTTGAGTTTAAGTTGACGCTGGACGAGTTAAACTGGTTTAGGGTAATCCGTCTAACTAGCGCCGCCGATCGCGCTTACTCAGCAGTCGCTGAAAAATCTGGCCAATCAGAGAGCTTTTTTTCGGAGTTCCATCCTGATTAGTCAGCCACTTTCATTTTGACTCGCTTACTCAGCCGTCACATGAATCAGACCAATCAGAGTCGGCTTATTTATACGGAGAATTTTTCGGTCCAAAAAAAGCGCGAAAAAGAAAAGAAAAAGAACAAAAAGCGAGTCAAGACGGCAGAGAAGAAGATAGAAAGGCACGAAGGACGAGAAAAGGACAAGTGACGCTCATTTTGACGAACGACGACGGATAGACAGAACCGATTCACAGGCTACAGAAGTGCCGAGCAAAGCAGATACAGCAATACAAGATGGAGTCTCTGCTTCAGCAGTCCCGCGCCCTCTGCCCGTTCCTAAAGAAGACCGCCCCGGCTACGCTGCGAGCGCTCTCCACCACCACCAGGCCGAACTCGAGCGTTGTCGGAGGCACCATCACCAACCTTCAGGTGGTTGCCAGGCGCTGCCCTGTCATGGGCAAGGCTCTCGCGGTCCAGAGTGCCCGCATTGCCCTGAGAAGTGGCGAGGCGAGGGCGTTTGGTACCTGTCCTCGCTCGGCTGGCGCTGCTGGCCTCGTCAGGGAGAACCTGCGCCGGGCACATGGCAAGGCCCTCTGCCCGGTGTCAAAGAAGGGATTGCATACTACTGCTGCCCAGGCGGCCGTTGTTGATCAGCAGACCCGTGGAAAGGGTAGAGGTATGTATTCTTGCCGTCTTGTTGGAGCCTCTAAAAGTATTAGCCGAGATAGACGTAAGAGATGCTGACAGCTGAGTAGCAGTCCCGGTCCCTCCGCGAGCCACCGTTGAGCAGCTGAACTGTGCGAGAGAGACGTTTGCTGGTCCCAAGCCAGCTATCCCATCGGCTACTGCGAAATTCGACTATGAGGGCTTCTACCGAGGCGAGTTGGACAAAAAGCTCAAGGACAAGTCCTACCGCTACTTCAACAATATCAACCGTCTGGCCAAGGAGTTTCCTCGGGCACATATGGCCTCCCCGGAGGACAGAGTGACCGTCTGGTGTGCCAATGACTATCTCGGTATGGGTCGTAACCCTCATGTGTTGAAGAGTATGCACGATACACTCGACAACTACGGAGCCGGTGCTGGAGGTACACGCAACATTTCCGGTCACAACCAGCATGCTGTTGCCCTAGAGAAGACGGTGGCAGATCTTCATCGGAAGGAGGCTGCTCTTGTCTTTAGCTCTTGCTATGTTGCAAACGACGCTACCTTGGCCACTCTCGGCAGCAAACTGCCAGACTGCGTGATTCTCTCAGATAGCCTCAACCATGCTTCCATGATCCAAGGTATCCGCCATTCTGGTGCCAAAAAGTACGTCTTCAAACACAACGACCTCGAGGATTTGGAAATGAAACTCGCCGCTTTACCACCTGGTATCCCCAAGATCATTGCTTTTGAGTCCGTCTACAGCATGTGCGGATCCGTTGCCCCTATTGAAGCCATTTGTGACCTGGCCGAGAAGTACGGTGCTATTACTTTCCTTGACGAAGTACATGCTGTGGGCATGTACGGACCACACGGTGCTGGTGTAGCTGAACATCTCGACTACGAGGCTTACGCCAACCCTGAAGCAGATATCAGGGGCACCGTCATGGACCGTATCGACATAATTACTGGTACCCTGGGCAAGGCTTATGGCTGCGTAGGAGGCTACATAGCTGGATCAGCAGACCTAGTTGACACCATCCGCTCCCTTGCCCCTGGGTTCATCTTCACCACCTCTCTACCTCCTGCTACAATGGCTGGTGCGACTACCTCCATCGAATATCAATCTTCTTATACCCGTGACCGTACCATGCAGCAACTCCACACCAGAGCAGTCAAATCTGCCCTAAATGCAAACGATATCCCCGTTATTCCCAATCCATCTCACATCGTCCCTATTCTCGTTGGAGATGCCGAAGTCGCCAAGAAGGCATCGGACATGCTCCTGGAAGACTACGGTGTCTACGTACAAGCAATCAATTACCCTACTGTCCCACGCGGCGAAGAACGTCTCCGCGTTACCCCAACACCCGGCCACACAAAGGAATACCGCGATCATCTTGTTGAGGCTCTCAAGGGAGTCTGGGAACGGCTCCGCATTCGTAAGACCAGTGACTGGAAGGCCGCCGGTGGCTTCCTTGGCGTTGGATCTGCCCATGAAGAGAAGAACGTCCCTCTCTGGACAGATGAGCAACTTGGTCTCGCTGCCGGTGAGAAGTTGGAGGCTGCCATTGAACGCGAGTTGAAGGCCGAGGCAGCGCATAGAGAACAGATGATCCGTGAATTGGCCGGTGAATGTGCAGCTGAGGCAAAGGAGTCTCAGTTCCAGCATACCAATCAGCCTATTCCAGCCTCTGCTTAAGCTGCCTTCCCTTCTATGCGATTGATACTACTTTTTGTGCCAGTCTCCCAACTATTGACGCTCCTTTTCCAAACTTGAATATGCCCAAGCCGAACTTCTTTTCTGTTTTTGCAATAGTACTCCTTCATTGAATATGACATGCCATATTTCAATCAAATAAAGACTATTTGCAGCATCTTTTTTGATATAAGCCTTTTGGCATTTTACTATATATATAAACAAATAAATTCCAATATTTTTACTTCGGCATTTCTATTTTACTTGTATATCCTTCACATAATAACCGTAGCACTTACAAGACCAGATAACCTATTTGAAATAGTCGCTGATTCGAAAAATCTATCTACCTTCTCGGCGCCCTTCCTCTGCTCATCTTAGGGAATTCGACAGGAATCTTCAGCCTTGCAATTCTCCTTGAAGCAGCTTCTGCCTTACCACCCTTGATGCTCCACTTAGCAAACTCCGATTCCCTAGGCTTATCAACCTTGCAGCCCAATTCCCGGAAATACTTCAGGATTGTATCGTTCTCCAGCCGCAGGTCATCACGTAAATCCGCCGGGTCAGTGGCAAGCTCACTCACATTGCTTCCTCCTGTCTTCCCAGAAGCAGGCGGGATATGCAACGACATAGCACATATAGTGGTATGCAACAATGTGATGTCATTTCGTGAAAGGAACGAGCCCTGAGGCACAAACTTCCGACGTATCGAGTCCAGGAACGAATCTGTTATTGTGGGCGTGGTGTTTGTCTCTGAATCAACTGCCGTGGAAAGAATACGGCGCAAGTCCTCGCGAGGAGGAAGCTTCCTGCTATCAAGTCCACGACCACCACCAGGAGACCGTTTGAGTGATCGAGAGAACTCGATCAGAATCAATATGAAACGAAGTAATTGCACCACAGTTTTATCGCCAGATTGAACAGCTGCTTCAACTCTGTTTGCTACAAAGCGGGATGAGGTAGTTATACCCTCTGAAGCAGCAATGGCAGCCTGCCAGTCTTGCACTGGTATTTTGTGCAGTGTAAGCAGACCACTGGGAACTAGGCTTTCGATACTGTAAACATCCGCGGGTTGTGTGGCGGATAAGTTCGGCTGGGGAAGTGGTTTGGAAGCCTGAATTTCAGCCTGGGCAGACCTCTCCGCTGCCGCGTTTGTCATGTCATCCTGAGGCATGGACGAGAGCAGAGCTGATTCTGCTGCTTGAGTGGACGAAGCTGAGGCGTTAGATGTTAGAGCGTTTTCTGTTATGGCGGCAACTGCTTTGCGGGCAAGCTTTGTTCCAAACGCTGCTGCCAATGCGGCCTTTTGAGACAGTACAGTTTTCTGCGTTTTTCCAACTTGTTAGCATATAGCCTGTCGCCACAGACGTATAGAAATATAAACATACAGTGCCCTCTTCTTCGGATTCTTCTTCTACTTCTTCGATGGATTCTCGTGGACATCCTCGTATCATCATTTTCCTGGCCTCCAGGAGCTGGACGGTATTGTCCTTTAGGTCGTAGACCGCAACGTAGTGGTTCAACAGATTATCCAGCTGGTTCTCGCCTTCTCTACCAGTGAAGTTAAGCTTGGGGTGTCCGGAAGTATGCAATAATGCTTCTGTCATAGCTAGATTCGCATTCTCGGTGTGCTTCATGCGCTGTTGCCGCGGTTTTATATATGTGCTTAGAGGGAGTGTCTCAGGGACCGTGAGCCCAGGCGAAGAAGCTGGAATTCAAGGTATTAGCTTAGCCCATAATTCTTTTGAATGTAATGAGGATATACCGATAATAGGGACATGCCCTGCGGTGTTTTTCAAGTACTGGACCTTTGCTGGCTCAGGGTTGGTGTGGATAGCAGGTTTTTTGCTTGGTCTGTCATGTCGGTCTGATGCCCGTTTTCTCTTCTTTTCGACTTGTGAGCTAGTCATGATGTTTATATCCGATTAATTGGCAAGTGAAAGAAGAATATGCTTGCTTCTTTGGTCGTCCTTGAGCTGTGTGAGATGATAGTAATTGATATATAATGATTGATTGATGTCCAAGATAAAAAAAAATTTAGTCTTTGCGCCGAAGCTCCACAGAAAAGCACAAGCACACAACCACCACCCGGGGAAAAATAAATATTTACTACGAAAATCGTCGAAATCAGAGCAAGGAGCCCGTAAATTCGAACAGTGAATGACTATTATTAGCGATGGAGAGGTAGCAAATTGCTTGAAAACCTTCGGTTTCATTCATATTCTGAGACTCGTCACTATCATAAAGGCACAAGTGACATGATAATTACAAAAAAAGCACATAAATCATCAGAATCGAGAAACCGTCCAAGTAACTTTTAACCATCTCTGATGAGCGAGGCCATACCTCGTTCATATGTTGATCAGCCTTGTCATCCCATGCAAATGATAAAACGCCACATGATTAAAACGCAGTTATCACCCCGCACCGTTATCGACGAAAAGAGAGAAAAATCGAAGCATCAATCCAGAAATCGGATAACGGGACCATCACAAAAAACCGCTACCACCTTGCGTTTCTGGAAAGAACTATAAATGCCGGAGTCGAGATCAAATCGTATATTCGCAGGTGGGGTTGTCGAAGTAAAGTGCGAACATTGACTGTAGGGAAGCAAGAGTCGACTTGTATGACCGATTCCGACTTTTAAATCATGGTAGAAACCCGAGTATTCGCTTTCTCCTCCAGGAAATCATGCTTTAGAAATGTGTTGGTTTTTGCTTTCGCCGCTCACGGAGTACTGGAGTATTTGCATTGAGTTGGTTTGGCTGAGGCAGAGCGGTCAAATAGTTTACTTGCTACAGAGGGAATTAGCTTTTTGTTCTTCTTTCACCGCAATGGGTGGTAGCAATTGGAATTGATATCAACTTACCTTCTGGCTCTAGTCTTACGGCGCTTACGCTTGAGGCGGCGAACTCGCTTCTTTCTCCACTTGGCTCTCATCTTCGAGAATTGCTGAGGCTGTGGATAAAAGGCAATTAGTGACTGGAAGACATCATTAACAGAACCACGATGGAAGACATACCTTTCTTCGTAGATGATGAGGATGGTTGAAGAAGAGAGGAAGTTCGTGCAAAAGCTCGAAGTAAAGATCTTTGTATGTGTGTGTGCTGACTAAGCGGGGCTAGTCTACTTCGGGAAGCGAGGTTTACTTCTCACGTCATCCGGACGATTACGTAATACATAGAAATTCACTATAAGGGCAACAAGAGCGGGAAAGCACAAGGAATAAACGAGAGGGAGATAGGCAAATTAAATGGAAGATAAAGGAAAATGAAATTCACTAAGATGGAGACCTAGGCAGCGCCAATGAGTAAATACTATATAGGAATATCTCGTGACACAGCACAATATTTGATCAAGACCTCCAGGAAAATAACAGTGATGAAAAAGTCAAAGCGGAATGTTAAGTGAGTGACAAAGAAAACTAGCGATTAAGCAGTGGCAGCAGCAAGATTCTGCGCTGGCTCTTCAGGAGAGGAGGTCATATAGGACTCTCGGTCGATGCTGACACCGACTCGCTCGTTCCCAAGGAGATCCGCCAAAAGAGGGCTGGGGCGGTTGTCACGTCCAGGTTGGTGGATGGCCTGATTAGCCTTGTACTTCTGAACACTGTCGAGGTAGATATCAAACAGGTAAGATGAGTCAAGGGGGCCTCCCTTAGCTTCGGGGTGGAATTGGGTGCTGAAAATAGGTCGGGTCTTATGAATCATTCCTAAGTTTGATATTAGACAAGATTACAGTGGAGGGAGAAATAAAAGAAAACATGTTACGTACCTTCATTGCTGTTGTCATTGAGGTTAACGAAGTAGGGCTTCCAGTCACTTGGAAGAGTGCTGGCATCAACAGCATAGCCATGATTCTGACTGGTTATGTGGCATCGACCGGTAGTCAGGTCAAGGGCTGGGATGTTGTGGGCTCGGTTACCATACTTCAGTTTGATAGTACGGGCGCCAACAGCCAGGGCAAGAAGCTGATGGCCGAGACAGATGCCCATGATGGGAATCTGGGAGGTTTGCATCAACTTGGAAAGAGTGTGGACGGTCTGGGAGCAGTGAGTTGGATCACCGGGACCGTTGGAAATGAAGACACCATCGAAGTGATGAGCAACTTTGTAGACTGGGTAGTCATAAGGGAAGACGGTCACACTGGCTCCACGGCTGACGAGGCTTCGGAGGATGTTCTCTTTCACTCCGCAGTCGATGACAGCAACGTGGGAGGTGCTGTTTGCAGCACTGACGTGGAAGGGGGACTTGGTGCTGACCTTACGAACAAGGTTAATCTGCTCCGGGTCAATGAAGGCTTCATCCTGGTCGGCGTCATACTCCTCGCCGACGGTGATTCGAGCAAGAGAAGAGCCCTGTTCACGAAGATATGTGACAATCTGACGAGTATCAACGCCAGAGATAGCAGGGACACCCTCTCGGATGCACCATTCGCTCAAACTCTCGACAGCAGTCCAGTGGCTGTATTTTAGAGCGGCATCTGCAACGACGACACCAACAGCCTGAAGGCTGGGTGACTCGAAGTACTTGAGAAGACCATGCTCGTCACGCTCCGAAGACGGGATGCCGTAGTTGCCGATAAGCGGCTGGGTAAAGACAAGGATCTGACCACGGTAGGAAGGGTCACTGAGGGACTCTGGATATCCGACAAGAGAGGTGGTGAAGACGGCTTCGCCAGAGATATTGGTCTTTGCACCAAAGGACTTTCCGTGGAAGATAGGACCGTTACGGATGGTGAGCGTGGCACGTTCGATGGCAGATGGAGCTGAAGGGGCCTTGGCAGACATGGGGCCTCCATTCACGACGAAGGCCATCATACGTGTCTGGCCACCGAGCTGCCCACCAAACCGCTGGGGTAAGCCGTGAGCCGCATGGACCTTGAATGGCAGGGATCGAAAAGCTCGAGCAGCGAACATATTGACGGATGATTTCGATGATGTGCGGGAGCTTTGACGAGAGATGTTGATGCTGTTCGTTTGATGTTTGCTGAGTAGAAGAGTAGTAGGCCAATCGGTCCAAAGGTGACTCAGTTGACTGCGGCTTTCCACAGGTGGTCTAACGAGGAGTCAGTATTCATCTCGAGCCATCAGCACTATAGAGTATATTCTCTATAGAGCATAAAAAGGTCAAGGCCATACCTGAGATGTAGTCCTAAGGCAAAGACGACACGTTAGCATCCACATTCATCCAGCCCTCCAGGAGCTCAGCTCTCCACGGAGCGAGGGAGGAGTCATCATACTTGGGAAGTGAAAACTGAAGCGAGCACGCGCATAAGCACTTTTCTGCCCTTCAGGACTTGAATAATTTGTTAAGAAAGAAGAGAAGAAAAAAAGAGAGGACGAGAAGGCTGGTGGTTGAGCAAGACGGTGAAGTTCGCGGGTTGTTCGTGGTGGGCTTTTTGTGGAAGTTCGAAAGTTGACTGAGAGGGAAAAAAAGTTCCCGGCTCTGCGCTTTTTATTTTTTTCTTAGTAGCACGGCATGTGAAGGCGGTGAGGGCCGGTCGACCAGTAGGATTTCCGCCTTTTTCTTTTTCCTTTTGCCGACTACAGAGTTGGCCAATCAGAGCAGGTTTATAGCGGTCATCGCATGGTAATATTGATAATACCTCTGCGAAGTCTGGTACGTCATCGGTATTGTACTGTCACAAAGTCCAAGCATTTTAACGTTTTTATTTTTATTTTTATTTTTTTATTTTTTTTTTTTTTTTCGATTTACATATAAAAAAGAAGCGAAGAAAAACATGGAGATGATGAATGGAAGATAAGTCTGTGTTCGTTGAAGGCGTTGAGGATGTCTGGGTGGTTAAGGCCTGATGATAGAGCAGGTACACAATGCTTTGCTGACGGTCCTTTATACCGGGTTGGCACTATGCAGTGGATGGCTGGCACCCACAGCTAGACTATACCATTATCAAAGCTGCATATTGAATATCGAAGTGCAATATAGAACCTGGAAGATACCATATACCATATTTGGCCATTGTTTGGAGGGCCTCAAAGGCTTTGTTTGTTGTAAGTAGCTTGGAGGGCCAGAAGAGACACCATCACGGGCTGGCTTATTCCGGGCTATGGCTTAGCATACAGTAGACCTAGGAGAAAGATACTTCTAATAGGGAGAGACTCTGGCGATATCATATTCCTTGGTTGATACCTATTTTTTACTGGATAAGTCTTGGTCTATATCAATACCACATGCCATCATGTTGCCTGATTGGATATATGAACTTGCTCCTTCAATGAGAATATATATACACAAAATTTTGGATATGATAGAACAAGAAGATAACCATGACTATCCATTTTTTCTAGCCTGTTTGATATATACGTGATTGCTTTAGACAAGTACTCGCACTGTGTTGACATGTTGATAACTTCAATGCCTGCTCTATATCCCTTGACTCAGCTACCCCAGGCCAGCCTCAGGGAACAAAGCACGACGATGACCAGCCCCCTGGACGCGCTTCTGGAACAATCCGTCCGTGTCCTGTCACTTGCTCGCTGTCCTGCTCCCTATGACGTGCTGACGGCTACCTGCTCGTCGTTGCAAACCTCGCTTAGCTTTAGCGCCAAATCTGCGAGTATAAAAACCGCCTTGACGCCTCCCTTCTTCTCTTCTTCTTCTTCCTTTCTTTCCTTTCTTCCCTCGAGCAAGTAACCAGATGTAAACTAGTACATCTGTTTTTCTTCTCTGCTTGTCAGTCTCAGCATCTTGCTAGGTACGTCTTCTTCATCTTGTCTTGTTGATATATCAGTTCTGACATCCACATTTTCACTATAGACTCTTCTTTGAAAGCTACTGCAGCCACTTGATATCAAGTATCTCAGAGTAAGTTCTACCATTATATCTCTATTTTCTAGCTATCCATATACTTACAAATTTCCCTTCTATAGGCTTACTTTCTTATCTTCTTCTAGGGCTATCTCTACGAGGTTCCCCTGTCATGATCTACTAGATACTGCTCTAGTAGATCATGACAGTAATGACAACCACCACAACACACTCCCCTTTCTTATCTAGCTGCTAAGTTCAAGTATCAACTTGAACTTAGGTGTCTCTTTTTTTTTTCCATCATATCTTCCCGCAAGTTCGGAGAGACTGAAGGAGAAATCAAAAAGACACACTTCTTGCCACACTGTTTTTTAGACGCGTTGCGGGGAATTGTTTTTTTTTTTTTTTTTTTTTTTTTTTTGTCCCCTACACACCTGTCAGTATTAGTCTACTAAGGAATATAAAGGACTATGCATGTATCCAGTATGGTTTTTGTGTCAATTTCCTGAATGTCTATAATAAACCCTTTGTGCGTTGATTATAGATCAGCGTATACTGTTGATGCTGGAACCTACCCAATGGTAGGCCATCTCTCGACTCTCTCTCGATGGCAGATAGCTCCGCCAAGATAGTAAACCAATGTATAGATTTGAGATGGTTATCTATAAAGGAATGAGGGCTAATACTTCTATGAGCTCCAGTCTACTCCTGTCAATGACTTCATCTAGATCTCCCTTGCGTTTGTGCACGACACAGTTGAGCAACACGCCGAGTATCTGCGCCCTCTATGTTAGTTAGGCTACCCACACCCAAATTCCAAATTGCAGGCCATAATCCCCTATTATACGTTTCACCAGAGCGTTGGTTTCGAAACTACTGACGACCGCCGTTGTTGGAGTTAATTCTCTGCCGCTCGCTAGTTAAGGGACGGCTTGAGTTAAAATATTTTGATATTGATCAAAATTAAACTCGTGAGCCAAAGTCAACCTCACAACTTATCTCCCTGTTAACTCATGTATCCTAATCAATGCTTGAGATACAGGACAGCCGACACAGTACACGATGGACACGATGGAGGTCGCGGAACTTGCAGCCGCCATGGCAGCTGCGGCGACTGCCATAGCTGTCGGCCAGCGACATCTCAATAACAACGAGCGTCGACGTCAACGCCATCTCCGGCGTCTACATAACCAACATCAATTTCGAGCTCAACGACACCGGAAGAAGCAAAAGCTCGCGTCTCAGAGGTCGTCTAGTATGCATATGCTTCAGGTCCAGGACAGATATTCCCAATATACCAACGCCAATGCTGGCGATTCCGTTTCGGACAGCGGATACGACCCGGACGTGTCTTCGGATACGGGGTCTGATGCGGGTTCGTACGCTACACTTGAGAACATGTTGCCCGCCCTTTGCACCCCTGTGATTTCGTGATACCCTGCTCATTTCTTTCTTAAGGGATGTGTTTGGCAGCCTGACATGCATGGAATATCCATGGGTTTTTTAGATTCTGATGTCCCGCGGAAAAGGCTTCGTCTTGATCAAGCAGAGAAAAAAGCTGATTTTCTGGCTGTGATAGAGCATTGGCTGGACACCCAGCAGTGAGTATGTATCTACTTTCAAATCTCATGACTGTAGGTACTTACGTTTTCTTCATGTCTAGGTATTAAGCACTATCTTTAGAAAGGACAGGCATGGTTAGCAGGGAAGGGGATGTTTATCTCGGGGTCTTAAATGCAAGTCAGTCACCGGTTGAGATGACATGGATGAACAATGTGATGAAGAATTATTCCATCAAGGTATGCATTCTATGCGTTTCGGGGCATGTTAGATTTCTTGGCTTTAGGAGATGGGCTTTCGTGGTGAGAGCAATTGTTGACTGTGATTTCTATGTAATGAGTGCTAGGACTTTGCTTCTACTGATTATAATGTGTTTATGTCTAGAATGCTCATGAATGAATGAACTGTTCGTTAGATTATCCGAACACTAGACTATCATAAATATGCATGTCTCTTTATAAACTTTCGTTCTTGGTATATGATTCAAGCATGCTACAAGAAGAAAGCAAGGACAGTGAGAGCTGATATTGCTAGCATTGCCACAGGAGCCTTTAGCATGGCACTTCCAGCGGTAGGGGCTGCTGTGGGAGATGAGGTCGTGGTTGGTGGAGGGTTCCCCTTCGACGCAGCAGGGCTCTTAATAATGTAGTTCTCAACAACTGCAGTTCCATCCTTAATAGCATTAAGCTGCTCCGGGGTACAGGTTCCGTCAGCACTGAGGAGGTAGCAGGTCGGCTCAGGCGAAGGAGGGATATCGTTTTTGATATGGAACGTAGACTCAGTTCCAGTGGTACCGTAGTCTGGTTTCTGAGCAATGTCGATCTCACCGGTAGAAATATCCTTGTTGAACATGATGCGCTCAAAGATCTTGAGGGCAGTCTCGGGTTGGTAACCAGGGACTTCATGACCGGCCTCGAAAACTCTGGTGAAAGAGAAGTTTCCATGTTGACGCACTACGCCTCCGACGTATGAAGAGTTGACCTTGACATCGGCATATTTTGCCCTGTGGAAGTCTTGGGTGCCAGTGTAGTTCAAGCCAAGACTGACCTGCTCACCACCGAACCAATTGCAGATGTAGTCTCTGTCACCATAGACGAGAGCAACCTTGACTCCGCTCTCGAGAAGATAAGCAATGTCACCGGTGAAGCCGCGCACATCAGGGCGAGCGTAGTCGCCAACTCCATGGAATGATTTTCCCACAGCTTGGGCGTATTGGGAGAAGTTGACTGGCGATCCCATGTCAGATAGAACGCTGGATTGGCTGAGGAAGCCCTTATAGAATGGTGGGGGGAAGGGATCCTGAAGAGGATGAGCAATATCATAGTAACCAAGATTGGTCTCTTGGAAAGGATCCATTAGATATTTGTCGCAGGCAGAGTTAGCATCCGCACAGATTGTGTTGACGGTTGCATTGTTGCTGTAGAAGTGAGGGTCTCCTTCTTTCGCGGCCTCACGGCACTTGGTAACCTTGTCGAAGCAGCCGTCAGGACGGTGGATGTCGTGTAATATAGCGTCACGCTTCTCCTTGGTATAAGCTTTGATGCCATAGGTGTTGTTGTATGGGAATTCAGCATAACTTTCTGCTTGGAACATAAGATCGATGCAGCCGTTGATGATACCGAGGGTGTCGAGGTTCAGAATATGCATCTCTCCTTCTTCAGTAATGGTATGGTTTTTGATCTTTTCGTTCTGTTCCTGGAAGTAAGAGGCGAATGAGGGACCATATCTTCCTCCATAGGACTCTGTCCAAATACTGATCTTGTTATTGTTAGGCTTGTGTTCAGGGAATTCCTGGAACCACACTTGTGCAAAGTGCCAGATAGAACGAGCAGCGTTCACAGTGTTATTGGCAGTTGCCCAAGGGTTCTGGCTGCTGCCGGTTCCAACCAACGTAGAAAGATTTTGCGCAGGGACACCGTTAGAGAAGTCCGCAACAGATATTGTATCATTGATGGTAGAGTAAGTGATGTTGGTAGGTACGTCATAACTGAAACCGACTTGGTTTGGCTGATCAATGTAGAGCATATTTACTTTATTGTTCCATGAAAATGAATTGTTGGTGGTAGATTTAGAGTCTTCATTGACCCAGCATGGACCGTTTTCCTGGAAGAGTCCAATCATGGATGACGATCCCGGACCACCGTTCAGCCAGATGGAGAGAGGAGCATTCTTAGGGTCTTCACGAGCTTCAAAGAACCAGAAGAATGTGTTGATGGAGTAGTTCCGGTAGACACCAAAGTCATCGTTGTCTGGAGGAAGGTGGACATGACCGGTGAATGATCTAACTCCTTGAGTGGTTTCACATATGTCATTCTATCCAGTGAGTTAGCCAGATTTATTGTAAGGTATAAGATCTGGATGTGAAAATGATGTAAACACATACCTCCTTGTATGTGATCTTTACGTTTTCGTCGAACTTGGATTTGACCACGGTGACGCCCTTAACGGGTGGAGGGAAGCCTTGAGCACTCGCCGCGTGAATGACTGGCAGGGCCACGGCAATGCTAGCAGCAAAGCGCATCGTGGAGGTATATTGCTGAATGGACAAGAAAAAGAGCAAGAACACAGTAGTATATCAGCCACCGAAGCTTCCTGGTCAGTGCTCCGGGAGAAATAACTGGACCATACTCCCAGGCGGACACTAAAGGCCCTTTTATAGTACTCCGCCAACGAAACGAAAAACGAAACGAAGGGGTAAACATGACGCCTTTCCATGGGAAATGTAAGGATGCGGGGAAAGCATCATTTCGTCCGGGGATATGGGAAGAGATTGCTTCAAGAATGATCTTGATACAGGGTTTAAGTGGAAGCTGGCCAATGACAGAGATGTCGATCCCCGGAAGATGTCTGATGCATGGCCAATTTTGGCGATGGGTCTCAGAGAGATAGTTATCGTCGAGGCGAGCTGAGGATCCAAAGGTGTGATTTAACGGCAAAATGCAATCTTATCATCCATGTCCAGCGAGTAACTTGCTGGCGGAATGGGGCATACCCTTGCCTAGCCTGACCTTCATACCATTCAAGCCTCTCTCAGCAAAGCTTCGATGAAGTCTCCCCCACAGTTATCTCGTACTCAGACGTTCTTCCGGCTGTTCTCGGCATCTTCGAGGCAGCCAACAGCTTGGGGCGTAGGATACGAGACGGCCGTTGGTTCTCCTAGGCTAACCCTGGCCCCGTAAAATGATCATGTTAATGTTATCCCAAGCAGCAAGGTATGGTGTGATTCGAGTGTAAGTAGTTTGCGTCCTCCCTGGAAACTAATTCGTGCATTAACTAGTTAACTAACCTAGCGAGCCATCGGGTGGTCCAGGCTGTGGTTTTGCGCACCTGGATTTCGAAAAAATTTCAGAATTGCGCTGTGGATTCTGATTTGAACTTTGGCGGTTCAGGCTGCGTGGACATTTCGTATAACGAGTTAACATACGGAGTGCAACCATGCGCACCGACGGAGGATGACAAGACGGGCTTTCTCTGACCGAGGTATTCTCAGCCAGCGGGTGCCTAGAGACCGCTTCAGGGTCTTATAAATCATCACCAAGATACCATCAAGTTGGCACTGGAATTGCTGCTTCCACTTGGCCAACCAGCCCAACATTTAAACTAAATATACCCTTTGACCCTCGAGCTTTTCCTCTAGCCCGACCAAGATGGAAGCGGATGTCGGATTTTGCTTTCCCATCAGGGAGCTCACCAGCGACTTGGTGAAACTTAAGCTGTTCGATGTAAGAAGCCCACGGTCCTAAGCGGTTTATGACTATGGTGTGCGCAGCCAGGTGTAGCTGGCACCGCGTCGACGGGCTTCGTCGTAATTAACCGATGGTTAACTATGGCTCCAGCCAATCCGCCACTCGAAGACGTTCATCGACCAGACAGCCGATAAGCCGGAGATATTCGCTCATATGCCGATCGGGCCATTTGCAGATGTCGAAGAGTTCCAGACCAAGTATTTCTACCCGCAGGTATGCAGAAATAATACGAGAGTGGCCTTTGCGATCATAGACAAGACCACACCAGGCCCACCGGAAGATGGGGGAGCTTTGGCTGGAATTGTGACCTATTCCTACGCCTCGGTGGATAATCAACTGCTCGAGATCGCGTTCATGGTCGTCTTCCCGGCATTCCAGCGGACTCATGTGACGACTCATACGGTAGGACTGATGCTGCAGTATGCACTGGATCCTCCCGACGGCAGTGATCCGTCAAAGGGGGGGCTGGGTTTGCGCAAAGTGCTTTGGCAGACTGCTACGACGAATGCAGCCTCCCGGGCAACGGCTAAGAAGATGGGATTCGAGCAAGAGGGGATTCTGCGGTGGGATCGAGTGTTTCCTGATGCCGTGCAGAGAAAGAAGCAAGGCAATGGCAAGGAGATGCCAGCTCACGCAGACAAGAAGGCCCTTGGTAGAGACACAGTGTACTGTGGGCTGTGCTGGGATGAGTGGGAAAATGGGAAGAGGCAGATGGTCCAGCAGCTGATGGACAGCTTTTTGCACAAACAAGAGTAGACAAAAGGCACAGCAGGCAGGTTGTAAATCAGCAAAGGCCAAACAAACAAAATATACAAGTCTACTATATATAAAAAGAATAGCTACTCCGCAGAGCCCAGAAGTTCGAAGAGATAACGCCAAAAATAGGAATTAAACCAAACACGGCAGCTGACAGGCCGAAGCGCATCTATCAATATTTCATCCCAACTTCAAGCAGGTACTTGATGCGTATCTGCGCCACATCGTACACGATATACTCGTTGTACTGAAGCCATACACCATTACTAGAATCGGAAGCAAGCGGGTTAGAGCAGTCCGGCATCAAAACACCGGCGAGGTCTTTGTGAACACAACCGGCGTCCTTCCACCCGCTAGGGATAGCTTGTCCACGACCCAAAGTAGCCAATTTATTAGCCTTCTTGACTAAATCGCCAGCGCGGTAGTCGGAGCTGGTCAGTTCAAGCATTGAGTTACCTACTTCAACATCGCAAAGCATGAGTAAGCCAATGTTGCCGCTGAGGTCATGGTAACAATAGTTGGCTGATTTGCTCGAAACATCAGCAAAGTAGACACCTTTTCCGAACATGTAGCCGGTAACGGGGGCTTCGGGGGGAGCAATTCGGAGTCCCTGGCTGAGGATACCACCGTAGTTGGTGGTACGGGAACCGTGCCAGAGCAGACGACGGCAACTGTTTGGAATGTTGGCGTAAGGTGATTTTTCATAGCGTTCATTTTCTCCATGACGCTCAATACGGAAAATGTTGCGGAGCTGATTACATAGTTAATTCGGTTGTCTTGTCTATAGCATTTTTGGAGTCGGTACTTACGTCGTATTTAATGCTGTGCGTAGCACCATGAGATCGAGTAAGATACTCTGCCAACTCGGTGAACTCAGTTGAGGTGTGGCCAACTAGAAAATACTCCGTTAGTATGAGAGAGGTAGTAAGAAGCATTGTATAGGGGACCTACGAGGAGTCATTTCATTAAGACCAAGTCCCAGGAACTGTCTGTCAAGAATATGAACGGGGTTATCATCATCTTCCTCAGAGGCACTCATAATCTTGCTACTGATCTCCATATCAGTCAGTGCTTCCAACATCTCAACCTCCTTCTTGATCTGCGGTGCTGATCTCAGCACAGGTGGTCGATTCCTGCCGAACGCATGAGGAATCAAGGAGAAATATTGGTTACTGAGTCTGTTGATGGAGGCGGGAGACTGGGCTGCCTTAACGGGGTCATGCACCAGTGCATCTAACTGCTTCAGGATCTCAAAACCCTGGAGGAGAGTCTTCTGGCTAAGATTTCCCAATGGCAGCTTCTTCGCGTCGTACGACATGTCCTCCATAGCGGCGTCCAAGTGAGTCTGGTTGAAGATCAATGCAACGAGGTCCTGCACGGGCTTTACCAAAGTACACTCTGCCCTTTTAATCTCCTTCTTTGGCTTATCGTCTTTGGGCTTGTCCTTTTTCGGCTTCTTGGCCGATTCGTCCTCGTAGGATCGCTCCAGATAAGTGTACTTATTGTGTTTCGGAGCATCATTCCTCTTGGCCCAGCTGAGGCCGCTCTTGTCTTTGAACTTCTTCTCAAAAGTATTCATAGCCTGGTCGAAACTCGAGGCCTTCATGTGAGAAATCTGGCCCTTTTCGCCAACCCTACCCCACCGGGTCCACGTGGAGAAGTCTCCAGAATTTGGGCCCTCAAGGATTTGGATGAAGTAAAATTTGTTGTTGTTAGCACCCGAATCAGTTTTGTTCAGAGCAGCGTCAAAGACAACGCCTTTATCTTGCCACACTTTGTACGAGCCTAGATGGGAAATGATGTTAGATACTGGTTGACATTGAATGAATGTTTATGCAATTTACCTTTGTTTGGAACCAGATCATCAACAGGGACGTTAAGGACAGACTCATTGGCAGCCTTGATATCTTTTGTAGCCTTTGTAGGCTTGGAGTCTTTAGTATCTTTGGCATCTTTGGTATCTTTGGCAGGTTTTGCCTTAGCCTTGGCTTTGGTATCTGCCGGATCAGCCTTCTGCTTCTTCGCAGGTGGCTGATCAGCAGCATCATCCTCCTCCTCATCATCTTTCTTGTTTTTAGCCGTCTTCTTAGCTTTTCCATTGGTCTTTGCAGGCTGTGATTGGGCTGGAGGCTGAGACTGGACCTGCGATTGGGATTGAGACTGGGACTGGGACTGCGACTGAGTAGTCCTGCCGGATCTTCGAGGACCAGTACCGTCTACCGAAGGCTTCCCCGGAGCCGGCAAAGCAAGCGAATACGGACTCTCGTCCAAATGCGTCTGCTTATCGCGCGAATCAGTCAACCAATCGAGGGAAACGATCTTAATATCGTTCCCTAGCGCAATAGCCTGCTGGTCTGCAAAGCGTAAGTTGTACTGTCCCAATGTATGAATTGCCGAGCAATTGGAGGTTGAATTGGATCCGCCATTGTCAACGGTACATGTATCCGAGGGGATCGAGTAAGGTGCAAAGAAGAGAAAGGTCCTATTTACTCTTTGTACCGGCCGGATGCGCAGCCTTGGAAGTGACAAGATGTGTACACGCATCGGTCACCGTAGCGCTAAAGGTACCGCCCAGCTGTTCAACGATGTACTTGATCGTGTCTAAAATGAGAACTCGTCAATTAAATGATGGGAAAGGGCGGGACAAAGACAATTGGGAGATGGAACTGTGGGCTTACCATGGTTATACGCTCTGAAGCTGCCGCTGACTACAACGACTTGACCGGCAAGTGGTTTGGACATGGCGAAGGGGAGAGAGCGAGGGAAAAAAGGGGGCGAACGAGGCAGGGATTAGAAGAGAGGGCGGATAATGTCTTACTGTGTGCTGGGGAGATGGAAAGGAAGTAAATTGGGGATGGGGAAAAGGGGGCGCGAGATGCTGTATTTATATCAACAACGCAGCTGCGGCTGCGGTGCCAGCAAAGTCCACAAGGCGCGCGCCGAAGCCTAAAGTTGCGGAAAAGCTAAAAGAAGCCGCCCCCAGGCTGCAGCCCCTTTTAGGCTAAGCGCCGACAGCTCCGTGCGGCTCCGTGATTATGTAAATGGCGCTAAGGGCCAGGCAGAAGCGGCTGCCTGATGGATGGACGGCAAAGACGAGAAAAAGGGGGCGGCTGCGGAAGAAATATACAGCGGAGTTTCATATATGCATGGTTTAAAGTACATTTCTGCGTGAGGGTGGATAGGACAGAATGAGAAGAAAGAAAAAAAGGGTACTCCAGGAACAGCAGGTCAGGCCGAAAACAGCAAAGACAGTAAACGCAGTGAAGAACCCCGGTGGATATCTTAAAACAAAAAAACAGCTGAATATGAACAGTAAAACGCCCTCCTCCAAATCCGTTCTCGTAGCATGGTACAAAGGTATATTCTGGGTGAGAGAAAAATGAGGGGGAAAAGACAACACAAGTGGTGCTGTGATTAAAAAGCGTACAGGCAAATCAAAAGCAGAAGCAGACCAGCGCGCATTGCTAGGATATAAGAAGCAGAAGTAGAAGCCAGAAATGTAAGGTGTATATTAAACCAAATGTAGTGTAGATCTGGTATAGATGAGAATTTTGGAGATTAAAAGACAGCTAGATGGTCGTAAGGGTAGTCGTAGGTGATAAGGAAAATAATGATGGCGGTAACAGTAGAGGAATGGATATGTTTAAGGATGGTCGTCTAAAGGGAACGCGCCAGGGGCCAGAGAAGGTTCCTCGACAGTTTTTTCGGGCTCTTTCTCCTTTGGTTCTTCTTTATGTTTCTCTTTGGGTTCCTCTTTGGATTCTTCTGTGGGCTCCTCTATGACGCCTAATTCCGCGTGGGAAGGAGATGCAGGTTTCGAGGCAGTTGGATCTATCTCAGGGAAAGCATCAGACTCCGATGCGAGAAAGACAGACTTTGATAAGGGAGATGTCGACTTGGGAGAGGTAGACGTGCGCCTGGACGTATGAGACGTATGTGAATGCAACGAAAGGTTAGATCCACGGCGTTTCGTAGCTCCCTCAGAAACCTCAGATTCATGAGAGATTTCCCTTGCTAGCGGCTGAGGCAGATCGGTGTCTGATTCAAGGCTAAGTGCCAAGAGGCCCGAGTCTCTGGCTTCAGAGAGCGTGGCGACGGTGGATAGTGTTCGGCCTGGGTTCCGGGCGGGCAGAGCAGGGGGGTTTCGTTTCGGAATGGTAACGAGCTTTGCTCGAGCGAAGGGGGAGCTCTTGGAGTTGATTCGTTGCGGGATAGCTTGCTCGGCTACTGCGACAGAGAACTCTGTTTCAGGAAGTGATTCAGGGAGTGATTCAGGCAGAGACGACTCGGGAATGGCTTCTGGAACCTTAGAGGATATAGACTGTGCACGGGACGTAGCTGATGATGCAGGGATGGGTATCGAGGCTGGGTCGGGCTCGCCTGTGGACGAATGTTCCGTGTCAGAGGTATGTTCGTGTATGGAGGAGGAAACGTCCTTGATGCTGTGGGAGCGAGACGAAGTGTGGCTGGCCGTCGAGGGACTTCGGCCCCGGTCAAGCTCGTCGATATTGGTCTGTGTGCCCTTATCAGTGCTCATGGCGCTCTGGGTGCTAGATCGCCAGCTGCTTCTGTTGCTCCATCTTGGACTGATGGGGCTGGTGGGACTGGGCCGGAAGTCAAAGACGTCGAGCGTAGGAGTGCGCTTGGTGCCGGCTTCGCGGATGATGACACCTTCGCGCTCGAGGGCCCTGACACCGTAGGGATCTGGATCGTTTTCCTCTGGCACTCCAAAGGTTCCGGCGAGCGAGATCTCGGCGTCACCTGGAGCCTCTCCGGGCGGAGGGAGCAGCGTTTCGTCGATATCCTGGTCACCCTGGGCCGCCTTGAGGGTCTGGATCAAGGTAGAGATAGATAAAGGAGGATGCTTGGCCTTGCCCGAGAGGATCTCGGAAGCGCTGATTTTCTGGCCGTAGAAGCGCTCGTTCTCGTCCGTCCGTTCGATAACAATGGTTCCATCGACCTGGACGCCGGCGTAGAGGCCTCTGCTCTTGAGATAGGACCAGATGGGAGCCTGTCGCTTGTGCACTTCCGAGTCTAGCACGCCTCCCACGCCGACTGGACCGGCCACGGCGCTTAGCGAGCCGCCGAGGGTGCATCTGAGCGACTTGAAGGCATCGAGGGCCTCGTAGGTGTTTATGACCACCACGCAGTCGTATATGTCGACTCCCACGAGGAAGCCCAGGCTGGCGGTATGTAGCATGATTCCTGATGGCGGACTCCATTCTCCCGTCTCTGCCAGGCGAGCAACGAGGACTCCACTGCCACCAGCGCCGCTGACCCACAGGCCGGTTCGCATGGTGGTGAAGATGGCCAATCCCTTGGCCTGTCGGATAACAGAAGCAGGTATCTTCTTAATCGCCCGTTGCTGCTTACCGCGAGGCCCCTGCTCACCCTGCTGTGGAGGCGGCGTCAACGGAGGAGGCTGCAGTTGTTGTTGATGTTGCTGCTGCTGCTGAGGCGACTTTGGCGACTGTAGTGGCTGCAAGCTGAATCTCCATGAGAACCGGCTACGCTGGGGCGAGGCGCGAGCCTCTGCGGGCTTCGTCTGCGGGCTGCTGGTATTGCTGCCATGGCTGCCGCCGTCCCTGTCCGCCTCGAGCTGGCCGTAGAAGCCGTCCTTGCAGAAGCTGCGGAGAATGCGCGCGGCCTTCTCGCTCTCCTGGTCGAGCGTCGTCGGCCAAAAGGCCTCTGCGCCAAGTCTGTTGGATAGACGGTTGACCGGCCGTCCAATCCTGTCCAGCTGGTGCCATGCTTTGTCGAAGCCGCGCTTGGAGTAGCCCTTGGTTCGTTCCCACGTCGACGTCGACGTCTGTGACATGATGTAGTAGTCGTAGTAGAAGCAGCAGTCCCTTGATGGCCGAGAACCGACGCCAACAAGAAGACGCTGCGGAAGAACCGGCAGAAGAAGAAGAGAAATAGAAAAAAAATAAAAAAAAAAAAAATAGAAAAAGACCAGACCAGAGCAGGTCAAGGGAAACAATAAACGAAAGACGACGGCTGTCTCAAAGCTGTCGGTGCTTCGATCTGCTGTAACCGTTCAGGACCGGGAGAAGATTTTGTATAAGTATAGAGAAATGAAGAGAGGGGCCGAAGCGGAACCCTCCCCTGGGCCGTCTCGTCCTCTCTTCTTCTGCTTCCCCCCTTTCTTCGCCGGCTGCCTGGGTCTGGGTGTGTGTCTCCTTGCAAGTTGCTGATGCTTGCTCGTCTCCTGCCGGTGCTTGTGGTCCTGGGCCTGCTGAGTGCTGATGCGATGTGAATGCAAGGGTGTTTCAGGCCAGATGACCCCCCCTTGCCTGCCGCGCAGCCCCAGCAGCGGCAACAAAGACGACGCAGACCCCCAAGCAGCAGAAAAAACTGTTGAAATGTAGGCCAGAAGAGATAAATAGGGCAAAGGAGAGGCAGATCCGAAATAAATAGTAATAAGAAAAGAGAGGGAAGAAATCTAATAGTTGTTCTCCTCAAGCAGGGACCGGGCCGGTTTTGCCTTGTGGAACGACGGCGAGGAAGAAGAAAAAGCAGAAGCAGAAGCAGAAGAAGAGAAAAGGAAAAGCCGGCGAAGGAGCAGGAAATGTCTATAAGTATGTGTATAGACCCGCAAAAGGGAGCGCCAGGCTGTAGATTCTGCAGCGCTATATGTGTAAGTAATGTATATAATATCAAGAGATGCAAAGGGGAAAACAAGGTGCGATCCCAGCTCGATGGATGGAGATGGCGAGCCACAACTCCACGCCGCGCGACCAAACGCAGGTTCGTTCAATGATGCATCTTATCTGGCGTGTCTCGGCCCAAAGAAAGCTTCTAAAGAAGACCCAAGAAAAGAGACCAAGAAAAGAGACCAAGAAAGAGCCGGCTGTCCGTGATAAAAGTGTTGTTATATTATAATCCTGCGCCGGTAGCTTAGTTAGCTATGCCGGCCACGCCGCCTCGCCTGGAAGTTATCACGAAGTCGAAGCGAAAGAAGGCAATGGAGAGTAGGAGAAAACGAGAGAGAGAGAGACTCGAAATCCTTCTGGGTGGCTTCGGGTCTCTTTTTCTCCCCTTTGGTTGGCATGCATGGTCTTCTTCAGCTTAGCTAGTGGGTTCGTTACTTCGTCCTGCGGCGTTGCTGGTAGCCTAAACGTCATCGGTCCCAGCAGGCGAAGGGCCGGAGTCAGGGATACCTCTTTGCACCGCGCTGAGGCTGCCTGGCCGCGAGTACCTGGTACCTGCAGGGCGAGGCCGTCTCGCTTAGCTACATGGAAGCAGCTGCGGAGCCAGACGAGCCAGCGAGGAGCCAGAGAGGAGCCAGCGAGTCTTTCATAGCATGGCTGTTATCTTCTGAGCTGTAGCGTGTCGAGGGTAGACTAACTGGAGCTCGAGGCCCTGCGCAAGGGATATCAGTCGACTTATGCAAATCTCCTGCACTCCCAGGGTCTTACAGATCAGTAGTAAAAGTGATCAGGAGAAAGTGATAAAAAAGATAAAAGTGGTAAAAAGGAGAAAAAAGCTCCTAGCCAGGATCGAACTGACGTCGTCGGAATCAAAATCCGATGTGCTACCACTACACCATAGAAGCATAGCTAGTGGGAGGCCGTGGGTTGAGTGCTAGAAGAGGGTTCTCGTTAGATATCGGACAATACCACAGGAAGAACAGGATGGAGAAGCAAGAGAGAGCAAGAGTAAGAAGAGTAAGAGTAGAGTAGGTGAGGATGGTAGGTCTATTTTATACCTGGTGATGTACAGGGCTGCAGACATGACAGTGGCAAGCTGTTACTTGCCTATACCAAAAGACAGACAGAAGACACAAGGAAATCGTTTCGTCTATACTATTTTTACAAGGCTCCAAGGTCCTTCAGCTTGGAGATGAGGCCGTCGACGTCCTCGACTTTGCTGCCACCCTGTCTCGTCGGTGGTTCTATCATAGTTAGCTAGGATCCAAAGAGACAGAGAGAGAGAATGTAGACATACCCGTAACTTTGACAGTGTTCAGCCGTCGGGACTCGTCCAGCCCAAAGTCTGCCAGCGTCTTCTTCTCAATAGGCTTCTTCTTCGCCTTCATCAGGTTCGGCAGTGTCGCAAACTTGGGCGTGTTCAGTCGCAGGTCCGTCGTGATAACCATAGGCAGCTTCGACTCCAGCGTCTCAACACCCCCATCCACCTCCCTCGTCACCTCCACCGTCCCCTCGCCGTCCTTGACAGTCACTTTGCTCGCCTGCGTAGCCTGCGACCAACCCAGCAGCCCAGCCAGCATCTGGCCCGTCTGGCCATGGTCGCCGTCAATAGCCTGCTTGCCCAAGAAGACAAGATTGATCTTCTCCTTCTCCACGACCCCCTTCAGCATCTTGGCGACTGTCAGCGGCTCCAGGCCAGAGTAGAATCCCTCCTTGGCTTCGGGGACCTCGACGTGCATTGCTCGGTCTGCGCCCAGGGCCAGCGCAGTTCGAAGGACGTCGACGGTCTTGGGCCCGCCGGCGGAGACGGCCAGCACCTCGGAGACCTTCATGGGCGACTTGCTGTCTTTTCGCAGGCGTGAGGCTTCTTCCATCGAGAGCTCGTCGAAGGGGTTCATCGCTTGTCGCATGCCGGTGATGTCGACGCTGGTCTGCGTCTTGCTGATGCGGGGTTTGAGCTGGACTCAGTTAGCATCTGCAATTATTTCTCCATTGACAACCATGATCGAATAGAATGTAGAATGAGAGTATCGAGAAGCGTTCAAATTTGAGGAGTTGCTGTCAAGCTATGGATGATACGCAGCTTCGCCGGTCCTCGTGGTCACCTCGGCAGGGAACAGGATGGGCAGGGCACTCACGGTGTAGTCGAGCACCCGCTTGACGGGCACTAATATCCTCAATGCGCTGGCCATTGTGAATTGTGTGTCTCTATCTCGTCTGTCCTTGATCCGAGAACAAGCTCTTCTCAACTCCCGTCCCAAGGCGTGTATAATAAGACGTTTATCTCGACAGCCAAAGTTGTCGTTTGCGTGCTTTGCCTGCCATGAAAAAAAGGGCCGAGCAGGGTCGTCTGTGCCAAGCCGCGGTTCTTTTCGGACGGCGAGGCCGAAACGTCGGCTCTGGGCGCCTCATCGTCAACAACTTCTACTAGCTTATTCAACAGCTGATATTCTAGCTATCCTATCCAAGGGGTGTATTTACTACCATGTCTCCTGCTTGTATCGCCCGACCTTCTCCATGTCTATCAGATACTTCTCCGCCGTCTGCCTGCTCTCTGCAGAGTCGCCCAGTGGAGCCTGGAAGGTCTCTATCAGCGCCTCGCGAACTGCCTGGGGCATCCGGCCAGACGAGCCACACACAAATACCGACCCTCCCTTCTCGTGCAGCAGCTCATAAAACACCGAAGAGTTCTCCCGCAGCGCATCTTGAACGTAGTACTTCTTCTTCTGGTCTCGCGAAAAGGCCGTGATCACCGTCAAGTTGAGCTGGGCCTTGAGCGCTTCCCACTCATCCTCAAAAAAGTAATCTGCTGCCTTGTTGTGCCCACCATATAGCAGTATCACCGGCCCAAGAGCCAAGGGCTGCTCGTCTGGACCGTAGTTCTGGTTCTTCTTGAACTCCTCGGCCATCGCCGCTTTTTCCCACAGCAGAGACCGTATTGGAGCAACGCCTGTTCCCGGGCCAATCAACACAGACGGGTCAGAGAGCTGTTTGGCTGAAGAATGGAGTCCCCCCTTTTGTACCTGCACTTTAAGCGTGCTTCCAGGCTGCAAAGCAGCTAGATACCGCGTACAAACCCCTTGGCGGATCCTCTTGATCACAGTCTGGTACTTGACAATGGCAACCAGCAGCTCAAAGCGTGTACCCCCACGCGCCGAGGTCTTGAGCTTGCCGCCACTTGCCAGACTGAACTGTCTGCCTCGAAGCACCGGCAGAACGGAGCAGACTAATGGCCATGGAATCTTAACGGTATCAAACTCAGCCAAGACCTCCAGAATACTTCGTCTCGGCCGGGTGGTGTAGTCGTAGAACTCATCTATGTACTCTGGATTCGTGAACTCTAAAAGTCGCTCTTTATGCATCTCGTCTTTCGTGAAATGGGCAATCTGGCTGAAGAATGACCGTCTGGGGATCGCCATGATGTCTAGATAATCCGTAAGAAGCGCGCGGAGAGTGAACCCAGGTGAGCCAAGCAAGAATGGAATGGGTGGTGCAGAGACAGACGTTGAAGCAGGAGAGCCATCCCCGGTCACAAACTGTAGAGGTATATCGGCTTGGTCTTCCCAGCCCATCAGTGATATAAGTCTGTCTACATCCTGGGGGAAATTCCGAGGAGTAATGTGCAGTATATCTCCCGGTGCATAATTTATAGACTCTGAGGCAGTTAAAACTATATGTCGAACGTCCTGCCAGTGGCTTGACGGCGTCATTCGAGTGTTGTCTGTAAGCGTCGCTGAAACTGACCCAGGCAGTGGTCGGGTATCATGGTCTGGAGAGCTGGCCTCCTTGGCTCTAGACGGTAGCTTTGGTCTAGTTTCCCCATCTTCTTCCTTCGAGTCATAACGGTCTAAAGTCCATTTGGGTGGTAGTCGGACATCATCGGGGATAGGATATCGTCCTTCCTCCAGAGGGAACTTGTCCAGAAGATGTTTCCGCAGGTCCAGAGACCAGGGCAAAAAGGTCCCTTCAAGCCTATCTCCCTGTTAGATAGCACATTGTTTAAAAAGGCATATGTACGTACCCTTCTGGATGCTGCTCATCTGCTTCCCCGCGCGGATATAGCTCGCTTGCTCCTAGCTGTAGCAGCCGCCTGTACAGCTTCCTGGACGCCCAATTGAACCTGATATCAATTAGCCATCCACCCGTCACATACACACAAAAAAAAGAGTCATACTTTGGATAAGAGCTATCTCCCAGCCCAAAGAGAACAAAGCTGACCCCTTTCAAGAACGTAGGAGGCAGTCTTTTCAGGAGCAACGATCTCCAGAACTTGCGCCCATTGGCAGGGAAATCTCCTTGTCCAGTAGTCGGCACTACAAAGACAGTAAACCGGTAGCCATACAAGTCCCTCTACATCAACAAACCCTTCGTTAGCCACATTACCCAGCCATAATAAAGGGCCATAGAGAATCAAGAACTTACAGGCTGCAGGGCATCAAGCTCAGCTACTCTTGTCTTGAAGTACAGCCGCTCCGTCAGCCGGCCGATCTCCTCTGCCACATCCTGGGAGTTGCCCGTCTCCGAGCCATAGGCGATCAAAGCCGTTCGGAGAGAGCTATCTTTCTCCACGGTCGCCATTGGAACAGTCAAAAAGCCCTCCTTGTCTCCTCCAGCTCATCGTGTGCAGTCTCTCAAGGGGGACTAGATTAAAAAATACTCCAAACAATGACTCTTTCTTCGCTTTTGTGCTGCAAAAGAAAGAGAAAAAGAGTCATGACATCACAAGAACCGCCAAGCGCCCCTTGTTTTCGTTTTCCCCCTGGCAGAAGCATAAAAACACCAAACAGCTGCATCCGTTGATCTCCCACCACAGGCTGCTTCAAGAGTACAATGTTGATAGAGGATGCCTTTGTACATATACTAGTACAAGGAAATGATGGTCCGCTTACGGAGAGGCAAACAAGTCTGTTTCTTTCTCTACGACGGATAACAATATGCCCTCCTCAGACTGCCCTTCTCTCCTCTGGACAAGTACTATAATCGACCTGAGAATTACACCTTGATGAGCACTGGGAGATACCTTGCAAGATGAAGTTTACTATAAATACCCTTTACCTTCTGGGACATGGAGTTCCTCAGCCTATACCATGATATTTTTTATCCCACAAGATCTAGTTACACCAAAGCAGCCGAGATATTCATCTCCCTCATCTATATATAAAAAATGGCAAATGACAGTGAAAATGAAAAGGAGCCTATTAACATCGGATACGATGCCTGGCAGGGTCTTGGGGATGCCATTGTACCGGGAGAAGACGGCGTCACCCCGCCCTATGCAATGGAGTATTTTATCAACAGTATCTGCTGGGGAAGAGTGGTCGAAAAATGCTATTACCTCCGCAACGGCATATACTGTTTCCTCTCCGAGGCACATACATCTGGAGCAACGAGCCATATTCGCAAGATAACCTTCCAGGATGGCGTGAAATGGGTTATTCGGCTTCGTCTTCCAAATCCCACTACAGGGGAGGAGGACATCGGTGTCCGGACGTGCTATGAATCGCTGAAATATCTCAGGTACATGCATCTTTTTTTTTTTTTTTTCTCTTTATCCTGGTAGAAAATGCTGACCCAAGGATTATAGGGATGAGACGACGGTACCTGTTCCAGAGGCCTATTATTGTGACGCCTCGCTGAGCAACGCTATAGGTGCACCGTATATATTAATGGAATATATCCACGGCACGACAGCAGAAAAACTCAGGAAGAACCTGGCATACCGCGAAAATGAATTTGGGTCCGTCGATGAAAATATAAACTTCAAAAGAGGCCTTGCTATGATACAGGTGGAACTGGCAAGCAAGAAGTTCGATCGTATAGGACGCCCTCGTCCAGCGCCCCAGGGAGGATATTACGTCGCATCTACACCTACAGAGGCAGCCCATGATACCAGTGGTGCCTTTTATAGGCGTCTAACCTCAAATCTCCTTCGCGAGGCAAGGATGAGTGGCAGAACAGTTGCTCAGGACCTGACGCTTAGTATCCCAGCTCTATTTGAACAACTCATTGCTCGATGGTCAACGCACCGAGGTCCCTTTGGCGTGGCACTTACCAGTCTAGGTGCTCATAATGTGCTAGTCGATGAAAACTTCAGGGTTAAGGCCGTTATTCATCCCGAAGGGTTGATGGCAGTACCTCGCGAAATACAGGCTCAGATGCCTTTGTCCATGGGCCTGCAGACTTCCCCTCCTCGCTCCCATGCGAGATCAGTGACAGAGATGACGACTCTAATGGAGGAGATGGAGAGAGCCAAGTCATATTTGTCTTACTTGAAAGAAGCAGATCGCATCAAATATGCCGGCGTTAGGCGGGATGCTAACAACGCTCCTCTGTACACGGCAGTGCTAGGCCCGGCAGCCCTGATATATCAAGGGCTGGTTGAATTCAAAAATTTCCGGCAAAATGTCGACCGCAAGTGGCTGGCTACGTATGCTCATTACTCGCAAGACTTTGAACTGCCGTGACTTGTGTTCACGGCCAGATGTATTTCCTATGCAGTTCGATCATTTTCAAGGACACGATGGTTGAAATATAGCCAGCTTAGCCTCCATGCGACAGAATAACCCATTGTAGAAACAACTCTATTGAAGTTAATCCAAATATGTCTATTTTTTTTGTTCACTCCTTGCTTTTGGTCCGCTAAATCGTAAATATGGGTATCATGTCAACATATGCAAAAAGGGAATAAAGAAATGCGTGTCAGTAGACGTCGTTATCGTCTCCACCACCTTCGTCGAACCCGTCGCCGAGCTCATCACCTCCGTCAAAGTATTGCTCAGCATTATAGTCACCTCCCATCTCTTCCTCATCTTCTTCGAAATCATCGTCCACTATCTCGTCCTCAGCGTCTTCCTCGTCATCGTCTAGTGCGTCTTCACCCTCACGAACACCCGTTCGTCGCCTACCACCCGCATCAGACCCTTCATCATCTTCGTCGCCTTGGTTCCGCTTCTTCCGCCGGCCCTCGTCTTCCTCGTCTTCATCCTCATCCTCCTCGAACCCGCGTTTCTGCATGGCCTTGGAGAATCCTCCACCATTCGCAAACGTCCCTGGTAGCCCAACGTATTTCGGATCGAGTGTTGACCATAGCTCCTTGGGGAAGTAGTTCATCTCTGCAATATTGTTAGACTCTCTTTTCTTGTTCGTTCTTTGAACTACGTCAAAGTAATGCGGGGTGAGGAGAGCATTACCAAATGGCACTGCACTTAATTTCGGTAATGTTCTCGATTTTTTCATATATCTTTGTCCATAAGACGCCATGCCCTGGAAAGGGTCAAACTGTGCTCGAGCTGGGACACCTTTCTTGCCGTATGACGGCTGCGATGCAAGAACAGTGTAAAACGGTCCATCGTGGATTTTCTCCCGCAATTGACGATAGAGTTGTACTCTTGATATTTCTGCGTCGGTAAATTGAGCAGGGACAGGTACGGTATATTTCTGTCAAAATTAATTGAGTCACGTTAGCATGTGCATAGGACAAATCCAATCATATATCAAAAAGAATTGATGTATTACGGGAAATAGTGGTGTTGGCGAGGTGTCTACTTCCCCGCCCCCCTCAGACTTCCAAGCAAACTCGGCTCCGGGTGCCTTCTTGTTGCGTGCAGCTCGAGACATCGTTAAGCCATGCAAAAGGTGCACACGCTTGAGTTGTTTGAGGGTTGAAGTTGTCGAAGTTTGTATAAATTTGACAGCTTTGAGCCTCAAAATGATCACGTGATATGATTTTTGGCCAGAGGACTCGACAGGTATCTCATCTGTTGTTATGGACACGATATAAATATAATGATAGCGAAAATGAGGAAGAAATTTGAGTCAAATCTATTACAACTTGAGACTTGGAAATTCAATATATACATATACACTACAACAGGCGTAGGCATGAAGGTCAACTTATAGTTCGAGGGCTTCAATTCTGCTTCCAAGTTGGTTCGGAGCACCCATGGGTCCTTCTGCCACTCTCCGCTTCAATGTTCGTTTAATATCATCGAGGCTTCCAGTAGAACTCTCCATTTTCTGAACAGCTGAATGGAGAGTGACAAGGGCATCATACTTCGCGGTGGCAATCCGCCATACAGCACTCTCGGTGTCTCCGGCTCCTCCGGCAACGAAATCAGCATAGGATGGGGGCTGCTTAAAAAGGTATGGTAAAACAACAGTCAGGGCTGGTGGAACAAGTAACGCCCATGCTCCACTGACGGGGAGATTTCCTTGAGAGGATGGGCCAAGTTGGCTGACTACAGACTCCGTTGGCAGTGTGAACCGACCAGATGTCAATGTACTTGCATCTTCAGCTGAGGAGAGAACGGTCCAGTTGGCTGTTACAACACTCTTTATCAAGTTTATAGACGCTATTGCAGTCTCTTGCATAGCTATTGTCTCCGCAGCTTCGACGATGTTGGACCAGAAACCCGGGTGGCTGTTTAAATACTGAAAATAAAGGATTCTTGAGGCCACTGTCTCAGCTCTGGAGCTGGTAGGGTTTGGACCTCTGTTAATGGCCTGATCAATATCCATCGCGTCTTCAGCGGGAGGTGGCCCATGAAATATCTTCCCTAAACACATCAAGGTTTCAATGTGCAAGGGCTTTGAAGGAATAGCGAGTAGTGGGTTCAGGCCTCTTTTGCTAGATTCAACCAACATTACTCGTGGAAGAGAAGCTAAAATATCGAGATCTCCCACGGGTACAGGGCCATGAGCCCACTGAGCGGATGGTATTTTGAATCCTTTTAGTATGCGAGAGCACAGCCGATCCAGCTGTGCCTGGTGTTCTTGTAGTAGGTGGTTTGGATAGAGGGCTGCATAGGCAGAAACATATGCCATCACAGGGCCGGCAAGGAAACTTGCAGTGGCAGAGTCAAGGGTGGAAGGGTCCAGGTAGTAATTGATTACCCTCCTATGTATACCATTTGTGATAAGAAATTCTAGAGATGGAGATGAGAATGAGGGTATTGAGCTAGATGCCTTGCTGGGCCTATAATGTAGTCCAGGAGCATTGACTTCAAGCAGCTGTCGGAAAAATTGTAGGAGAGTCATATGGAGTAAGAGGTCGCTCGTGTCGACCATCTGAAGAGCGGCAAAGCTCAGCAAGCTCTCGCTCTGGAAGGTAGATTCAACATCAGCGAAGTGTGAGCTCGATATGGCATTCCAGCTGACAGACCCAACTTTGACAATGAACTCCATCAGTCTCCCCTGAGCAACTGTCTTTTGTCGAGCACTGATCTGTCCATCTTGTCCTACCGTGCGCAAGGAACATATCGAAAAGAGGAGCCTATAGATAGATTTGTCCGCAAATATCCTCTGCCACATTGGTCCATTCTGCAGAGATTCATTCTTGGGTCCTCCGTTTGCGTTATTTGAAACTAAGTGGTCCGCCTCTAGTAGAGACCAGAGTACGTCAAAAGCGGCCTGCGATACTCCAGAGTCATCGGTCGACAGCCATAGCTCTACAATAGACCCGACCAATTCTGCGTTTCTAGCAACTTCAGCAACATGGTTTGGAGACTCGCTTGCCTTTACAACTAGGCAAAGTACGAGGGTATTGATTGCGGGAGACCCGGCCCTGATTCCAGCAACGAAATTGATACGGGGATCAATTGACTGAAGTTCTGAAAAGCTTAGGTACTGTGCTACTTTTGTTGCTAGGGTTGCGACGGGGCTTGGGTCCTCCTGTAGCACCGGAAGGACGCGGGATATGAGGGTGATCAGTTTCTTGGAGAGGCCATGGTCCGTCTGGGCTACCACCTCGGCTCCTAGCTTGTCAATGAGGTGAACATCGAGGGGGGTCGACGGGTCCGCAAGGATCTGCTCTAGGTTGTTTGTCACCTGGTCGAAGGATAGCGGCCTGCTCATGGCGTTCGTCCGCTTCTGCTGTGCTATCAGTATGTCTGCTGTGCCGGGATGTTGTTGTTGTCGTCGTCGTCGTTCGTCACTTTCGACAGCCTTGACCCCACAAAGTCAAACAGGCCAAACGCCAAGACTTTGCTTATCGAGCTCTATTTTATCTTCTATCAACAATCAACTTCAACATCAAACTAAAGGTTAAAAGTAACAACTATCTACTACGAGATCAAGCTTGATTAACGCCGCTTTGATTTCTGTACCAAGACGCCATGGCAGAAGCATCTAATACTCTGATATCCTCCAAATCCTCACACTCCAGTCTTCACGCCTTGCTACATCCCCTCGTCCTGCTTAATATCTCCGATCACATCACACGGCATACAGTTCGACAGCAGAAGGGATTGATAGTGGGTGCCATACTCGGACAGCAGAATGGAAGGTCCATTACTCTAGAGCATGTATTCGATTGCAACCTGGTCACCTCCGCCAGTGGAGAAGTGCTCCTACACCAGGAATTCTTTAATGAGCGATTACAGCAGTGTAAGCTCCCGTCTAAGCTAATAATGGTATCTTATATACACGAGTGCATTTTCTTACTTTATCGATAGTTAAGGATGTTCACAAGTCACCAGCTCTAGACTTGGTTGGCTGGTTTACCGTCACACCTCCTTCCGGACCTCTACCGCCGCAGGTTTCCATTCACGAGCAGATACTCCGCGATTATAATGAAGCTGCGATTCTCCTTGCATTCCACTCCTCAGATGTTGAAAATACGTCTTCAACAGTTGGGAAGCTTCCCATATCCGTCTACGAATCTGTTTATGAAGGGGACACTGCTGATGATGGTGACCGACCCATGCAAGGAGATGACCAACAGCGAACTTTGACGTTGAAGTTTAGGCCTGTGCCATATTCAATCGAGACAGGAGAAGCCGAGATGATAAGCGTTGATTCAATTGCTACCGGGGGTGGCAATGCAACTGCAATCCTGGATAAAGAGTCAAGCAAGACAAAGACCGAGTCTCAGACCCAGGATAAAGAGAAACGACAAAAGATATCAGAACCTGCGGAAGATCTCGTTCTTTCCCCTGAGGATGAGGATTGTAAGTAAATATACTTACATCTCATGTCATGAAAAGCTACTAACATATATGCAGTAATTGCAAATCTTACAACAAGGCTAAGTGCTGTCAAAACATTACAGTCTCGCATACATCTCATAAAACGCTATCTCCAGTCGATTGCAGAAGACTCGAGCGCTGATACTTCCATGGCACCACAATCTACTCCCAAGCCAACACTTTCCCACTCCCTCCTTCGCAGTATTCACTGCGTCATCTCCCACCTTTCCCTGCTGACTCCAGAGAATTCGAATGCGTTTTCAATAGAGTCCCTAGCTCAAGCAAATGATGTTCTGCTTACCGCGTTGCTGGGTTCCATGGGCCAGAACATTTCTCAGATGCGGGAATTAGGAAAGAAATTCGCTGTCTCTGAATTAACGGCCCGCAACATTGTTAAGGAATCTCAACTTTCGAGTCGCATGGGTGGGGATTTGTTCCATACCTAGACAGGTATACCTGGGGACTGGAATTTGGAAACAAAATCTTTATCAGAGAAGTTATAGGACTTATTCAAAAGTCATCCAAAAAATGATAAACGATAAAAATGATACGATTGCAAAGATGCCGTATGATTTGGAGCTTTGACCGGAGTTGAACTGGAGACAGCACAACGACACCTGCATTCCTGCTGCTGTATAGAAATTACACCGAACATAGAAAATCACAGACGTAGCTACAATAATAGCCTACATCCCTGAAGCAAAAAATCCAAGCTATATATGTCAAAATAGTAAATTTAGCATTTTTCCTCCTTTGTGAAAAGGTTTATTTTATCCCTTGTAGCCGCCCCCTAATGTGAACACCGTTTAAAACCAATCAAAAATTGCCGGTAGAGATGAGTATGGAAACAAGCAAGAGGAAATAAGGGAGATAGTAAGAAGGAAGATTGGTAGTTGGTGGTAGGTTGATTTCAAATGGGGTAAAACTGGCGCCACCCGGCCGGAGTATGTGTGAGAAAGGGGATAAACGAAAACCTATAGTTATGCAAGGCATGAAGGAAAGTATAACAGTGAAATATAGAAAAAGAATAGATAGATGTTCCTTTTATCTCATCGTCTACCTCTCCAGGGACCGTCTCTCCAGCTGCTTCCCCAATCTCCTCGCCCACCACGCCCACCTCCTCTTCCTCTACCACCGCGCCGAGAGCCGTACTCTGGCCCTTGAACGACGAACTGATCAGTGTCCTCGAAGGTGTACCTGAACATCTCATCGCCACCCCGTTTGGATACTGGGCCAGCCCTGGCCAGATCGTCAAACTGATCGAGGCGTCTGTATGAGACCTCTCGGGCCACAGGGAGATAGTACAACTTCGGTTTTGCGACGGTAGAAAGAAACCTGTCATCAAGAGCTTTAAAGCCGTGTTCTGGCATCTTGCTACCCGATGGGCCTATCTGTTGACTTCCCTGACGGCCTCCGGGGCCCATTCTGTCTGCTCGAGGGCCAGTTGGTGGTTCTCGTCCTTGGCTAGAATCGTAGGGACGAGGTGGCCCACTGGTTATTGACGAGGCCTCTTGGAGTCTTGCTTTTATACCATCCTCGGTCTCATCATAGGTAACTTCCCAGCGGGGACCTCCCCGGCCACTGTTTCCGGGCGCCACTTCAATTTCTATCCATTCTTTCACTTTCTCTTCTGGGATGAAGTCGGCCCATAGTGGTTTGCGGGTGCGCTCTTCTGGCCAGATAGCGTCGTGCAAGGCGGCTCGAACCCGAGAAGCAGCTGCAATGCTTGTAAAGCTGGCGAAACAGTGAGTTTTGATGGAGTCCAAGAAGAAATCAACAATAACGTCAGGATCTGGGGAAGAATTCGGCGGCACAGCCAGCGAGCATAGGTGTCGTTTCAGTGCTGCGGGCTGCAATGGCCGCATGAAGTCACGGATATATAGAGCGGTGGTAGCTGGGTGTAAAGCAGGAGACACCATACGGTCATCTCCTTCAGCAGGAGGAGGCGACTCGGGACGCAAGGGAGCCCCATTCGTGGCAGGGAATAGATCCTTGAACCTTGCATCACCAACTGGTTTCCTTTGAGCATGAGGTTTTTCATTTCTATCCGAAGGTTCCTCATGGCCTGGTGCTTGAGTTTCTACCCGATCCTTAGACTCATCCTCTTCGGCCTCTTGCTTCGGTTCCGGCGCGGGGGGTGTACCCTCTTTCATTTCCACATCTGTGTCTCGAGCTGGCGGTTCAGCAATCACCGGCGCCGCAGCAAGCGCCTCTTGCTCTTCCTTGCGCTCCTCGCCTTTGATCTCTTCCTGTGTGGACCGAGATTGTTGCTGCTCCTCCTCGAGTCTCGCTTTCTTCAGTGCGATGCTCCTGGGGGAAGGAGGAGGAGTTTGACTTCGCCGTTTCCGTTTCCTCGACTCATCCGTATCTTCCCTTATAGCCTCTATATCCGCGGACGGTGATTTATTCACGCTTTCGTCTTTAACCGGCTCTTGGACAGGCTCTTTAACGGGTTCTGGTTCGGGTGCGGGGGCAGCCAGCGCGGGAGTAACATCTTCCACTGCCAATTCCGTCACTGGAGCAGGCACAGTCTCTGCTACCGCAGGTTTCGGCGTAGGTACAGGTGCTTGGGCGACAGGGGGAGCCGACACTGGTTCAATAAGCTGTGAAATGCTAGTAACCTTTTGTGTAGGAACAGGCGCAGGAGCTGACTCCGGTACAACGGTCTGCTGTACTTCAGTCGTCAAGATCTGCTGCGCAGGAGGCTCCTCTACCGGTTTCGATGGCAATTGCGCTGCTTGGGGCACCGGAGCTTGAGGAGGTTCGGGTGGTGGTTCTTGATATGCCGCGTTTGTCGGCTGCTGTGCCGGCGCCGGTGCTGGCTCAACTGGCTCAGCTGGGGTCTCAGACGAGGTACCAGCGCGCTCATTGTCGTCTTGGATAAGCCGGTCGATAAAATTCTGCTTCACTCGCAATCCTGTCTGCGGGATACCACGCTTCTTCAGTTCAGCCTTCAGGTCGGTGACCTTCAAGCTTCCATAGTCCATCACGGCTGCAGTTATGACGCGACTGGCAAGGGCACAAGGATAACGAAAAGAGGGCTACTTAGAATCCACGCATCCCCTAGCACGTGTAATTGTATGGTGAGGCGCCGCGCTCCTGAACTCGAGTCCAGACTGCGATATGTAGGTGTTGTCTCGATTGTCTCGATTCTCCGTAGGTTGTCTCCTTCTCCGTCATTTGCCTGTCTTTCAAGGTCAAACGGAAAGCTTTAATTTAGTTTGCTTCAGCCTTTTTTTGGAGGTTTTGTTTTTTTTTTTTCATGGTCACGTGAGCATATTTTTTCGCCTTCCAAGAAGCAAGTAGAAAGAGAAACGACGGCGAGGTTGGAGAGGATGAGATGGCGATCAATATGAGATTAGGCAGCTAGCTACGGAGTATTAGAGGACATATCATACATGGTGGGTCGGAGTCAGATGGGGTCAAAGTCACATCTCGGGGTAAAGAGGGTAGCTAGATATCAGATCAAACAACATGCGGCATCCGCCAAAAAATATGAGCCAAGATGAAGAGATAGTGAAAGATATGTACAGCCGAGTGGAAATGGTGGAGTTGATAGAGAAGGTTCTTGTTTTTGTTTGAGGTCTAGATCCTCTGCAAGATGGAATTTTATAGTTTTTTGTTTGTAGAGATAGCGTCACGTCAGAATCAGATCGGAGGAGAAGGTGGTGGTAGCATTCTAACTTGTTCGTTCACCCCAGATGCCAATCACACCCATGGAGAAGCCGACACCAAACAGATAAGTCCTGAGCATGTGGAGGTTGCGTTCTTTCTTCATGGCCAGTTCGACGGATTCGCCATTAACGTCCGCCACTGAGCTAGCTGGTGTGGGTTTTTCGGTTGAGCGGGAGGTTCCCATAGACTCAGCCTCTGATGGAGGTTCGACAAGTTCGATTTCACTCGAGGTTGCAAGTGACTCTTCGTCTTCTGCTTTCTTCTCGGGGGAGGCTGGCTTAGGCGCAGATCCGAAGAAACGGTTCAAAATAGATCCAGCACAGCAGCATGGAGAATGGGGTTCGCTAGATGTAGAAACGCTGCATAGAGATGACAGATAGGAGCTACAGGTACTGGTGCGAGGACTCTCGGTGCCCTGGATGAAGGAAGGGTGGTTGGTATACAGTTCTAGACCGAGACCACCAAGAAGAGCGAATGCGCTGGTCCAGAGGAGATAAGGGTGTCGTCGACGAGGAGAAGAGAGACTGAATGCTGTAATTAGAGTGAAAACGGTGATATGAGAGAGGGTCAGGGCCGCTCTGCGTGCGCGAAATTGGATATCAGTCAGGGCTTGGGAGGCAACAGAAGCCGTAGGAAGGCCTTGAAGAGCTGGTAAAGTAATAGATGACATCGAATATGAGAGGCCCTATACCTCATGTTAGTCAAAAACAAGGGCTTAATGATTGATTTTACATGATACGTACAGTTGATATGCCAATAGAGATCATGCCAACGAATTTAGCGACTGTGATCGGGCAGGCCATGACGTTTGTCAGAGCTATGGCTCGGTGTGCTTTGTACGGAAGTTAAAAGTTGCAGCCCGGGAGACGAGCTTTTGATGCCCCTGCTGGCCCACCGTTTATCGGTTAAACGGCCTCAAAAAGATAAGAGTGTCTGGCAAATCGGCAGGTTCTGGGGTTGGAGGTTTGCTTGAAGGTCTCGAATCAAAAGCACATTTTGGAGCTCATGAAAGGCCGGAAAAACATCGGAAGATCGACGCAATGACACAATAACTCGTTGACTAGTTAATTATGTAATAGCTGGCGAATCTGGAGAACGGCGCTTCAAGAGACTGGGGAATGGGGAAGAAGATACAAGGCACGAGATATCAGCCATGCTGAGTGGTAGAGAATACTCCATAGCAGTTGAGGTAATCTATACCAAGGTTGTTGCTAGAGGTAGATGTCGGTAGGGCACATCCTCTACCTCGAAGTGAACGCCATTGTGCTCGAACACCCACGCCATGGTAGTCCACTGCCTTCAGAGTAAATCACCGAGCATTTTCCTTCTATTTTAATGCTTGTTTAGGTGCAGTTTTATCGTCTCGATGTTTTGCTGCCTGCTCGCTGCGTGCCAAAAACCCGCCGAGCCGCAAAAAGCAAGCCGAGGCTCGCATGTCTTGGCATCAACAACGCCTGCCGAGCAGTTACCAACCTTCCTCTGCGGCTTTGTAGGTTAAATAGATGACCATTTAACCTTGGGTCCAGAGGCAGAAAACAAGGCTTTGAGACGGTGATAACTTGTGAAACCATTCCAAGATGCCGATGCCAAAGTCTTCTTACATTAGCGACGTCTGGAAGGACGGCATATTCGGTATGACGTTAGATAACTGCCTGTTGAAGAAGTAGTCCTCGAGCTAACGAGCCGGTAGATAACAAGGTTGTCTTTTGTACTGGCGGCGCTGGGACAATATGCAGTGCCCAAGTTCGCGCTTTGGTACATCTAGGTGCGAATGCATGCATTGTTGGTCGCAATGTTGAGAAGACGGAGGGTATGGCCAAGGACCTTGCCACGGCTCGCAAAGGTTCCAAGGTGCTTGGAATTGGGTCGGTCGATGTTCGTAGCTTTGAGAGTCTCAAGAAGGCTGTAGATCGATGCGTCGAGGAGCTAGGAGCTATCGACTTCGTTATGTACTGACTTCCACCCCCCTTTGATCGCATATGAGCTGGTCTAATCTGATTTCACAGTGCTGGGGCAGCTGGAAACTTCCTAGCCTCGATCAATCAGCTGTCTGTAAATGCCTTTAAAGCCGTCATGGACATTGATGTGTTAGGCTCATTCAATACATTGAAAGCAACGATACCCCATCTAGTTGAGTCCGCTGTAAAGCATCGGTCTGATGGAACCACTCGTGAGTTTCTGTCCTCTCGTAGCGGAACGAGAGAGAAGATAAGCTGATTGCAGATTTGATATAGCATCGCCGACCGGGACAGGCGGAAGGATCATCTTCGTCAGTGCCACTATTCACTATACTGGCATGCCTATGCAGACACACGTCTCTGTTGCAAAGGCAGGTGTGGACGCGCTTTCGAACAGTGTGGCAATCGAATTTGGGCCTGTAGGAGTGACATCCAATGTTATCAGCCCAGGCCCAATTGGAGAGACAGAGGTACAAAAAACTCAACTTGAATTGCATTGAACCTTTGAAAGGCTATAGATAGGGAATAGCATGCTGACAACTTCCTAAGGGCATGAAACGTCTTGCTACGGAAGATGCAAAGAAAAGCAATGAGGCTGCTATCCCGCTTGGCCGTTATGGTTCTGTCAAAGAGATTGCAGATGCAACTATATATATATTCTCAGACTCTGGGAACTATATCAATGCTTCCACTGTTGTTGGTACGTGTCTTCTCTGCTGTGTTTTACCGTGGCTATATGACTGACCAATGTTTGATAGTTGATGGAGGAGCCTGGCGCCTGCAGGCTGCTGGAATATCAGGCAGTGGCTTCTCGTATCCTGACTTCCTCCTGTCAGGCATGGAAGTCAAAGGTGTCTCGGGACAAAAGCAGAAGCCAAAGCTTTGACATGTGGTCTTACGTACTTGCTATTTCTGTTACATTTCCTATCATTCTATAGTGTATATTTTTGTGGCTATTTGCTGTCTCTATCTAGCCAATGTTGCAACTTTGTTGATACATCGACTTCGTAGGCTCCTATCACTTCTTTCTCGGGCCTGTAAAATACGCCAGCCAATACCTTATCAAACGACTTTACCGTTTGATCTGGAAGCTTCTCGTAAGATTGATCTGAGGCCTTCTTTGTCTGCTGGCTGACAGTCTCTATAGCAACCTGTCAAAGGCCCCACTGTTTTGATATTTTACAGGACAGGACATAAAAAACGCGGCGTCTGGATCAAACAAAGCATTGTTCTAATCAAACAGTATTTACCAGCCATACTAGCTTGATTTTGGATCAAACAACTGCAATACAATGGTCCTGTAGACAGCCACAGCTTCTCGACCGCATAGCTTCGCTTTTCTTTGCTTTGCCTTCAACAAGCTAAGAAGTTATATGCGGCCTTTGGAACCTACCTAAAGTGCATACCACGTGACCTGGCCCGAAATGGCAGTTTCAACGTCAAGTCATAAAGAAGGCAGAACAAGGAGGAAAAAATGGTTGCTTTGTAGGTAAAGAACAATAATCATGTAGATGAATATCTTCATATAAGAGGCATGGGAAACCTGGGAGTAGGGTAGCAGGACAGAGAAGTGATATATGGATGGAGAGAGCATACATCTATATGGCAAAAAGCGGCCTATAGATGATATATACTAGCTTCTTCTCAGGGGTATCTATATAGATATGATATATGACTCTCAGGCTGGCAACCAAATAGCAAGACTCAAGCTATATATAACGAGTATATATAGAAGACAGAAACATGGACGACGGTCTGGACTAGCAGCTCCGGTCGAAGCTTGCACTCCAGTACAGGTACGTTACCAAATACCCTGACAGGACAGCTGAACAGGACACCGTCAGGACAGCGTATCAACCAAATACCGCGCTAAAAAACTCGCCAGCAGGACAGATTTGAACCGCACTAAGAGGAGTGATCTGGTTGCCCTGGGAGTCCCCGCCTTGTTTTGGTGCAATATAAAAATCTCTGCTCCCGCCCCCCTTTTCTCTTCTCCTTTCTTCTCCTTCCTCGACTCACAGTAGCATCAAGTCAACCACCATCCACAGTGTTCGCAGATAGCTTCGTAACTCTCTCAGTCACCATCTCCGTCATCTCTTCAGCCAGCATCTCGCTTGAACCTGTGAGCTCTTCTCTTGATCCTTTCGTTGCCAGCCAAAGACTCGTTTGTCGAATCTCCATCCTCCACCACCTACAAGCTCTCGCGAGCTTCGAGTTCGATAACGATCAGCGAAAGATCATCTCTCCGTCTTCGTTTTCAGGCTTGATAACCGCCAATTCTCTTCGTGAATCAGCCAACACCGTCACCATTCCGAAGACATTAACCTGAACGTCGACGTTCTCCTTCTCCAGTCTCACGGGATTCTCACCACCGTTCGAGACGAACCAAACCTCGCCAAAACAACATTCGCCGCTTGACGCTCGAATCCCTTCACCACACAGGGATTCTTGAGATCGCAGTCCTCAATTTTCGTCAGTTCGATCGCAGCTGTAGAGCTCGATCACTCGCGTCGCCTCGCTTCATTTCCAGAACAGTCACGTCAAAGGCTGGTTCTACCCTTCCACCGTCAACTCCTTAAGCGAACCGTCAATTTCACCAGCTTAAGCAAAGGGAAAGCAATGGCTCCTGTTCAGCAAAAGGACGCCAAAATGAGCGCCGGACAGAAGAAACAACTGTCCAATGGCAAACGCCCTGACATCATCGGGGATGCGAATGTTGCCGTTCCGCGTCTGACTCCGGAACAAAATGCCCAGGGTCAATCCGATTTGTACAAATCGAAGTGGGCGACCCCAGTAGATGAGTACCAGGCGGCCTGGGAAAACATACTGGCGGGTAAAGGGGGGCCGTCTGCCAGCCAAATCACACAGGCGGCAGTACCTGCAGCAACGTCGGGGGCCAAACGACAACCACCAACCTCGACAGACAAGCCCACTGCAGGGAAGCAGGAGTCGAAGGGCAAGCAAAGGGCCACCACCCAGCAACCTTCGACTTCCCCCCAGAAAATCGACCGGGCGGACGACGGCCACAACAAACCTTCTCAGAAGGGTTCGTCGGGCAAGACTCTCAGCGCCAATCCACCGAAACCCGCCAGCACCGACAAGAAAAACATGGCAGTAGGTGAAGGCCCTTCGGACAGCCGTCGTCCGCCGCCTGTTACGAGCCAACAGGCACAACCAGCCACCTCTCTTCCTCCGGCCAGCGAAAATGACAACGACAACGACGCCGGTTCCGATGCCGCCAAAAAGCGACGCCGTCGAGGAAGACGTGGCAAGGGGGGCAACAAAGACAAAGACAACGAGGCTGCCGCATCAGCCATTGCCCCCCAAACCGCCGGCCAAAGTACCTCCCAGCCAAGTCCAGCAAAGGGAAACGGCCCCAAAGAGTCTGCTGCTGGTGGTGCCGACAAGAAAACCAGCAAGCCATCGACAATCACAGCCAGTGCACCACCAAAGACGCCAGCAGCAGCACCTTCATCTGCTGGCGCAGCTAGAAAAGCAGCAGACTCGAAACTTGCACTGCCAGCGTTGGCTCTACCCCCTGCTCAGCCAAAACAACTGCAGCAGCCGCAGCAAAAGCAACAGCAATCGCAACCACAGAAGCTGCAGCAGCAGGGGGGAGTCAGAGGGAACGGACAACAAGCACCTCAACACCCAGGTGCTGCGACGGGCAGCTTGGCTACTCCACCACCACCACCACCACCACCATCCACCACGGTGGCCACCAATGCCGCCAGTAAGCCCAAGCCTGCCCCCGCCAATGTTCCCAGAGCCAACGAGACCACTGGCAATGACCGCAAGGTCGCCGGGACGCCAGCTACTCAACAGCGTCCCGCCGTGCAAGCTCCTCGCTTCGGTCCTTCAGCACCCGCTGGAGGCGCCGCGACCACCGGGGTCGCGGCCAGAAGTATGGCTGTGCAGAGACCCGCAACCGGGCCAGTCGGTTTTGCGGTGACTGCACAGAACTCACCCGTTCAGCTCGGTTGGTCACCGAACATGATGGGTGACTCCCGTGCCCGGAGGTCCGGGGTCATGCCCCGTCTCGCACCTGGTTGGGAAGGGTATCAGGACAGAATCAACGTGTCTGGAGCAATCCAAGACATTTACCTGTATGCTGGAGACAGGTTGGACGTTGAGAAGTTCAATGCCTACGTTGCAAGCCCCTGCCATTCGGTAGAAGCAAAGGTCAATTGTCTTAAGGACATTGTCGTTACCATGGACCGAGTCGTGTCGGAGAAGCATGCCTCGGCCATGTCCATCAAAGCGGAACGTGACGCCTTCCGCGACGACTACGACCGGGCAAAAGCGCAAGCCGACGAGTACGCTGAGAGGCTCGCGGCTGAGCAGCTGCAACGAGAGCAACTGGAGGAGCAGATCGTCAGCCTGCGCCATTCCGTGGCCGGTCTCCGCAAGGAGGTCGTTACAAAAGAGGGTCATCTTGACTCTGCCGAGGTGGAGATTCTCCGCCTCAAGGACGATCTTGCTGCAAACCACAGTTTGCTCGACAAGGCTGTCTCGAAACAGGCAGCTCAGGCTGCAGAGACAGCCTCCCACCAGGAACAGGTGGCTTCTCTCCACGGCGAGGTGGAGAAGCTATCTGGCGAGCTCAGCGGCCTCCGGGCCAAATTCACCCTTGCCGACTCAGAACGCAAGGCGTTGGCGGAGGAGATTGCCAAAAGCCCGTTGCAGAGCGAAAACGAGCATCTGCGGTCCCAACTTTCCGAAGTTCGGGACCAGCTCGACTCTGTGAACCAGATCCGAAATGATCTGGAGGCTGAGCGTGCAGCTCACATCTGCTGCCAGCCTGTGGAGAGTGGCAATCCAACCTCCGCAACGTTGAGCATGGAGTTGGAAGGGTGGGGGGTTGGACAGGACTCCCGCTCTCAGACAGACGAAGAGGATGGCAGACAACGACGATCCCGTCAACCATCCCCGCCAGCATCCAGTGCTTCTCTGTACGGTGGTGGCAACACTGTCTCTACGTCTACCCAGACGGACGAGGTGGAAGTCATTGAGACTTTCACACAGACTGAAGAAGCGGTCGTCTCTCAACTCGAGGCGTCTACCCAGACTGTCTGCACGGAGGTTGTTACAGCCTCCACCCAGACAGTCTCCGTAGAGGTCTCGACGAGCGAGTCTTCTGCCCAAACGGCCTTGACCGGTGATGTTCTATCCCCGGCCGAGGTGGAAGTCCGAGTTGCTGGCGTCTGTCAGAAGGCGCGAACAAAGGATGCTCAAGTGCAGACAGCCATGGTTGCCGAAGTCCCTCGAGGCAGAGTTGCGTCGCTGAGGTTTCTCCTCGCCCTGCTCTTGCTTGCCTGGGCGATGATCATGCTGTGGAGCAGATACAGCGAAATATCTGCTTGGGAGGCTGCCAACGACACGTCGCGTGCGACTGTTGCTGGTATTCGTTCCCAGCAGGTGTTTCCCTGGTCTCTCATGTCCGATAAGCTTAGCTACTCGGTCGTTCGGCACTTTGATAGAGTACTCCCAGGCTAAATGAACGGGGAGTCGGTCAGAGGCCATCGCTGTGCGTCAAAACCACACTGATGTTCTTCTCTTCTAGCAATGATCCTTACAGCCAGCCTGCGTTCTGTCCTGCCCCCGGGAGTCGATAGGCAGTGGAGGAAGTGGTCCATCAGCAGTTCCCGCCCATTTCGAAGGGCTTGGGTGTGTTTGATAGAATCCAGGTATCAATATGTTTTCCCTTCTCTCTCCTTTCTCTCTTCCGCGGATTTTACTGTAGGGCATCTTTCCCTCCTTCGGGACAGGGTAGATGCCCACGATACCATTATTGTCACCTTCTTATCCGCTCTCTCTCTCTCTCTCTTTCATCTCCTCTCCAATTGCACTTCCTGCCCTGCTGCTCCCCTTGCTGATGCTTAATATACGAATTTCTGGTGAGATGGAATGTAGCTGGTGCCGTGTTTGGGTGTTAACACGTCATCTTCCGCATGTCCATAGGATTGTTGACTCATGGTCTCTCTTCCAGCTGCTTTTTGACCCTTCTCTGCTTCTCCTTTCTCAGCTCTTGATATCCTCTCGTGCCTTTTGCTTCTCCTTTTGCTGCTATTTTTGATGACTTGACGTTGAAAAATGCACACGTGACTCCTGACATAAGCAACACGCGGCATTACGTCATTCCCTGTCTTTCTGTGTTTCTTTTTTTTTACGAAACTTACCCCTTTTTTACGCCGAAAATTACACGCCAGCAAAAGGTACGGAGTTCTTGATCCCTTTGCCCTTGACACTGCCACCTTCTGACTCTCCTTGCTGTTTCTGCTTGTGCTTATGTCGGGCGCTAACCCTGGTCTAGGCCTTTTACCTCCACCCTTCTCGCCTTCAGGCCGAATCCTGCCCTTACAATAATACTCTTGCTGCCGCGACGGCCTCTGTAAGTACCTTTTGCCGAGCCCTCGTAATAAGCTGTACAGGCTAACCCGATCTGTCCTAGCGCCGGGTCTCGTGTCTTGTTTCAACTTCCGCCTTTCTTCTTCCTTCTGACGTCGCCTTTTGAGCGAAGCGAGAGAGAGACAACATTCTCGACCAACCCTCGACTCGCTGTTGAACCGATTTACTGTTTTGACCACCTTTGAACTGCTTCTTGACACTCGTTTCTTTGCCTGATATATTGGCCCTTTTTCTCTCTTCTGTGTCCTTATTTTCCTTTTGTTATTCCCCTAATCTGCGTTAACTTCTTCCATCATGCTGGCGAAACTCCTCGCGACCTCCCTCCTGGCGCTCCAAGGCGCAGCCGCTTTCCTTATCGTGCCCGAGATTGACAGCCCTCATGCCACCAAGCAACAGGCTCCCGACGCCCACAACAAGCTGACCATATCCGCCAACTGCGCCAAATGCCCGTTCCCAGACCGTCTCGATGCCTCTGAGGTCTCTACCGTGGACAGCTACATGGTACGCTCGCCCGATCCTCTCTCTCTCGCTGCCTTGTGAATTTGCCTCTGGCGGCCGGACAAGCGCTAACTGTCTCCTGCAGCTCTTCGACCTCTCGACCGACGCAGGCAGGCTCTACATCAACAAAAAGGAAGTCTACCCCAATCCTGACACCTCCGTCGACCTCCAAACCAGCCTTATTCGCAAATCAGACGAGCAGTCCAGTCGAAACATCCCCACCGGCTATGTCTTCGAAGTCCTCCGAACCCCTGATTCTCCCAATGATCCAGATGGCCCTGAGCTCCTCTCCATCTATTTCACTCCCGTTCAGTTAAACGGTCTCCCAGCGGCAGCTGATACTCTCTACATTCCCGTCATCAAGACTACTAACGGCAACCTTGTCATCGTCAACTCTCGCATCGAAGCTACTCCTGCCGCTCATATCTCATCCCAGCGATGCGGCCGCAATGCTGAATGCTGGAAACGCCTTCTCCTGGCTAGACTCACCGCAACCATCCGCGCTGCTAAGATCCGCGCCATCCAGTTCGCTGCCAAACTCAAGTCTGCCTTCAAGGGCTGCCACGGAAAGAACAAGGCATCTGCCATTCACGGACAGGGCGACAACGAGCCATCTGGCCACGGCCCACACAGACACCAGCGTCCCACCTTCTCTCGTGCCTTTGCTCACGCTCTCCGCTTCGTCATCATCCCAGCCATCATCGGGCTGTGCCTCAGCTTGGTTGTCTGCTCTATCGGCTCTCTTGTTGGCCACTGCCTCGTTGCTCTCTGGAGATACACCCGCCGCCAACGCGCCTCTTCCCACCACAACATTGACTCTACCCAGGAAGACGGAGAAGCCTACGAAAAGGAAGGCCTCATCGCCCACGAGGACGACCATGAAGACGACAAGCTCCACGGCCAGATCAGATTGCAATCAGACAAGGCTTAAATCAGGGCCTCTCAATCTCATTATCACCCACCAACACCATCACTTCTCTCATAATTGTTCTCGGAGTGGAATCGCATGACTACAACTGCTAGTGTTTTCCTTATATTCTGTTATCATATATCCCTACAACTGGAAGAAACGATGTCATATCCTGTTACCATAGCCTTGCAACCCAAGGACATCGTTTGCTGCTCTGTCTCGCTCTCTCATTTCCTACTTGTCCTGGCCTTTCCTTTATTTTCTTATGTCTCCTTTCCCTCTGCTCAGATGTTCAGCTTAGTTCAGCTCAGGTTTCTTCTCTCCTTCAGGGTCTCGCATAGTCACAGTTTTAAATCACAAGTCCGTCCTTTTTTTCATTGTCCCGCTTTCTACTTCGTACAACTTTGACCGGCCGTAGACATGCCCCGTAACTAGCTATCAAAAAAGAAAGCTCCCTGATCGTCACTGCGCCGTGCGCCTTTCGTATCACTCCACAGCCCACCTTTTTTCTTGCGCTCAGCCGCGTGTCAGAGCAGCTTCGCATGTTGGATCGATCCATAGCTAGGTACCTAACCTGTTAATCGGCCGTGGAAGATTGTTGTGCCGGCTCGGTGGTGATCCCTGAGGGGGTCCTTTTGGTTCCAGCTTGTATCACGATATCGCCAGGTACGAGAACCACCCACGCCAGCAAGAAGTTCTCAGCCAGCGACTCGATCCTCCGAGCCAGAGGAGATGTCTGCCTGAAGCCCGTCGAAACTGATGCGCCCTGGATGCCTCTCCTCGGTGGCCTGTCTCCTTTCTCACTATCGCTTCTGCTAGCCTTGTCGCCGGCCCCCTTTTGTTTGGGATCGGCGCAGCGTCTCCAGGCAAGTTCCAAAAAAGTTACCATACGAGCTACATACCTTCTGCAGCCCCCAATAATAACGAACTACCTCCCGCAGCACCAGGACTCCTTGCAAGACGAGAACGAAACAAAATAAAAGCTAGCCGACGGAGACAGTCGATCGCCTCGATTCCATAATATTACAGCTCAGATGCAAGTTGCCAGGCCGATTCTGCAGCTATGTTCCAGATCTCGTCGCTTGTCCAGAAGGCTCAGTCGCTCGTAGACCCGTCGAACTTCGGCTTCCCTACGCCCGCCGCCTCTGATCGCAATCCGTCCAAGGCTGCTCTCTTCCGCCAGCAGTTCCGGCTGCCTGACTCCCAGAATCCGCTGCAGGAGATATCTGCCGAGCTTGTCCTGCCGCTGCCGTACTCTTCCTCGAGCTCTACCCATGGCGAACGAGCCAAGGACGCCGGCCGTTCTGGCAACCGGTACATAGGCAACCTGCATCTCAGCGAGCGCTTCATATGCTTCTCTACGCAGCCGACGAGCTTCCTGCAGTCCTCCAGCTTCTCCGCCTCGTCTGCGTTTACGGGACAGACGCATGGGACGGGCCCGTCCGGCAACGGCTTCACATTACCCCTCTGTGCGATCCGTCGGGTCGAGAGGCTGAATAGCCACGGCCACATCTTCTCGCTGTCCATCACCACTTGGAATGGAGCTCTGAGCAAAGGAACCCCGGCCAAAGACACGCCTACGCCGGTGCAGAAGTTTACAATCCATCTCGACGGCTCGCGTCAGGCCTGTGAGCGGTTCTGTGATGGACTGAAACGAGGGCTGAGGGACGGAATGAAGGATGTCGAGGGGCTCAGACAGGTTGTGGCTGGGTGCCACTCGGAATATATGCTGTCTGGCTCTCGGACGGTGAAGAAGGAAGGTGTAGAGGTTGAGACGACCAGGGAACCGCCGGATACCGGCTTGGGTCTGGTCTTTAGATACCCGGGTGATGCCAGGAAACTGAGAGATCGGAGTAAGATGCGGCTATGGGGGGAGTATATGAGAGGTATGTTGTTGTTTCCAGGAGTATAAACGTTATATTCTTCGGCCGCTTACTGATGGACTCTGTAGAAAACGGACGCAATGCTACAATGATAAGGCAGCCTACGTTCCATAAGCTCATCCGAGTTGGCCTTCCAAACCGCCTACGAGGAGAGTTATGGGAGATCTGCTCTGGCTCGTTCTATTCACGGTTACGAGCTCCAAACTTATATGAGGAAACCCTGGCCAAGTTCTCTGGCCGTGAGTCCCTTGCAATTGACGAGATTGAGAAGGATCTCAACCGTTCTCTTCCGGAGTACCCTGGGTTCCAGAGCGAAGAAGGCATCAACAGGTTAAGAAGGGTTTTGACAGCATATAGCTGGATAAACGAAGAGATAGGATACTGTCAAGCAATGAACATCGTTGTTGCTGCCCTATTAATGTGAGTTTGTCATCTTTCTACTCCCTCTGTTGCTGATTCTAACCTAGTTATGCAATAGTTATACATCCGAAGCACAAGCATTTTTCCTCCTATCCGTGCTGTGTGACCGGCTATTGCCTGGCTACTATTCCACAACTATGTATGGGACATTGCTTGATCAAAAGGTGTTCGAATCCCTCGTGGAAAAGACCATGCCCATTCTATGGGACCATTTAGTCAAGTCCGATGTTCAGCTATCCGTCGTCTCCCTTCCTTGGTTCCTCTCACTATACATCAATTCCATGCCTCTTGTATTTGCATTCAGGGTCCTTGATGTCTTTTTCTTGGAGGGGCCAAAAGTACTCTTCCAAGTTGGGTTGGCAATCCTTCGAATTAACGGAGAAGAGCTGCTCGATGTCACCGATGATGGAACCTTCATCTCCATCCTCAAATCTTACTTCTCTAGACTCGACGAGTCTGCCCATCCTAGATCAGACAATCCAAAGCTGCGTGCCATCACTCGCTTCCAGGAGCTCATGGTCGTGGCCTTTAAGGAATTCTCCGGAATAACACATAGCACCATTGTGGAGGAACGAGCTCAGCATAAAGATGCAGTCTTGAGCAATATTGAGAATTTTGCCAAGAGGACTTCTATTAGAAATCTCGGACCGGAGAGCAAGAAGCTCAGCCTCGACGATCTGGGTGCCACGTATGACCGTTTCTACGACGTTCTTTACGATCGTCAACAAAAGATAAAGGCGCAAGAAGAAGAAGAGAGGCGCCGCAATAAAGCCGGAAGCAAGAACCCGGCACGATACTCAGCTATCCTTCCCAAAGTTGAAGCTCAAGTAAGCCGTGTGGGCCTCGGACCCAGCCCATCGCTTATGGATTATGATGGCTTTAGACAGTTTCTTGCAGCCACCGCCAAATGGGCCACCAGTGACTCTCCCCCACGCAAGGATTCCGCTTCTGATCGAAATGCCAGTATAAGAAGCCGAAATAAGTCTTCAGACAGGTCAAAATACCCTGCTCCTGCTGACCATGATTTCTTAAAACGGCTGTTCCGTAAATGGGATGTTGATGGCAATGGCGGTCTCAGCTTACAGAACGTTGTTAATGGCCTGGCTCAAATAAAGGGCGGCAGAGATATAATGAACACAATAAACTACTTTTTTGACCTATATGATGATGACGGTACTGGCCAGGTTGACCGAGAGGGCATATTACGCATGTCAGAAGCCCTCCTTTTCCTTTCCAGAAGGGGGTTCGAAGGCCTGATCAACATCCGAACCAATGGAGAGAGTGATCGGTTATCAACATCAACACAAGAAGGAGACTTACGAGGTCGGCCTAAGCTTAGTGCTGATGAGAAGTTTCTCAGCAGTGTCAGCGACTTTATCCAACATTGCTTTGAATACGCCGACCCCAGCCATCCACAAAACCAAGAACATACAGAAATGGAGTCCAAACTTGGTGCCTTCAGCATTGGTGACGATGAGGATGACGAAGAAGATAACGAGTCCCATCCAACCCCTGAATCAGACTCAACCCTGAAAGAAAAATCATTAGAACCTACAAGCGAGGAAGCCCCAACCGCTCCCCTATCTCCCACTACCAAAGAAGCCTCAGAAGCAGCAAACGCAGCTCTTGACCCGGCTCACCCCTTACACATCACACTCCCGACCTTCCGCATGGTCATCCTCGCAGATGAACTCCTTGAACAATTCTTTGAAAGCTATTTCCCTGAATCATTCCACCTCTCTGACCGCCCATCTCACGAAACAAGTGCCATCCAGCGCTCTACATCCCTTTCTTCCAATCTCACCACCTTTACCAATCTTGGCTATAACCGTTCCTCTGGCACAGCCACTGCTCCATCCGGCGCCACCCTTGCCGGCGCATCAGGTGGCATAGTTCCACCAGGCCATAAGGGCCTCAGGGGCGTTCTGGATAATATCGTCTCAGACGGCATGCGCATGGCTGCAGAAGTCCGCAAGAAGATGGAAGAAGCCCAGCGTGAAATGGAACGGAACGCTCTCGGCAGTAGAGCAGACGAAGAGGATGACGACGACGATGACGATGCAGCTTACTATGAGCGAAGGAACGCTGATACGTCTAAGCTCCGTGCTCCATCTATCCGTGAAGGAGATCGCGATTTACTTGAAGGAGCTGAAGTGGCTAGTATACGCGAACGAGAGGGACCAGAGACCGAAGGAAGCGCTGCAAATCCTTCCAAGACAACGCTGTCGCCGTCACCTGGCTCCCTTGTTCGACGGCCTTCAGATTGCAGTGTTGATAAGGTCGAGTTCGAGTCATAGCAGGTTGTTGCTTCTGGGTTAATGAAACTTACATAAATTAATTGATGAATGATAGCTTTTTGGCATGACCATGTCGGGATTAGTGAATGGCTGGCGCATCTTGTAATTATTATCTTCCAAGATGGAATTGTGATATATCTAACTCTCCAACTACCAGTTATACATCTTTTCTTATTTTATTCATTACGTTCTCGGCTGATTTGTCCTTGTTTGGAGGGTTCCTAATATTATCAAGTCGGTCTTAAACCATCGACATTTTACTTGTAGACATGCCCTCAATGGTTTCCAGGAAATATTCATATATCATTGATCTTAAGCTCAAACGGCAAATGTCCAGTGACCATTGTATCATGTTAGTAGGAATAGTGCGGATTGAAGAAGGGTAATTAACGGGGGAATCTGTTCGAAGCGGCATACAAGTTTAAATGTATCTTAAATTGAAGAAACGAGCAGAGTAAAAGTAGAAAGTAGAAAGCCAAAGGGGGGAAGCAGGATATTTAAACAAAAGAACATATCCATGCAAAAAGCATAAACAGAAAAAAAAAGAAAAAAAAAAAAAATTCGACAAGAAAGCCAAACACAGGCTATAATAATAATAGTTAAGGCTGATAAGTATCATCCGTAATATTTTTTTTTTTAAAAAAATTAAGCCTTGCAATCAACCAGGCCAACCAACCCCTGAAGGTGAAAACAAGAGTCTAGGATCATGAGGTCGTGATTTTGCAGTCATATAATGGCATATCCAGGAGGGCGTTGGTTGAGATGGTGAAACGAACATATGGAGTAGCCAGCAAGAAAGGAAAAGCCCAAAATGGAATAAATCGACAGAGAAATTGCAGGTAAAGGGGGCCATAGGTTGTGAGAGTAGACCTATGTAAGAAGGTAGATGTTTGATATGCATGGAAGGGACGCAGCGCAAAAGGTTTCCGAACGGGAGATAGATCGGAATGAAAATTAATCTTTCTGTCCCTCGTTTTCTAGAAGTTCCAGTACGATCTGGCTTCTTTCACGTTCAGGATGCTGCATGCAGATCTTGACTGTGCGGGAAATAGTGCCAAATCCAGTGGAGATTCCGAGACCATTGCGTCCCGAACCAGTGGGTGTGGAAGCTGCTTCGTTGAAATTTGAACCACCTACCGCGTTGGTATGTTGGTCGATTCCACTGTTGCCATTACCGCCATCGTCTAAGAGCGTGACGTTTCGGCCGGCAATGACTTGTCGAAGACGGCCGTTCAATGCGTTGCGGACTTCGACGAAGTCTTCGTTGAAGAGGAGTAGGAACTTCCCACATAGACAGGCCGCATGAGCAATGCCGACGAACTCCATGACCACGCTGCGGCTGACGTCTCCATGCTTATTGACGTATACAGCGCATTCCTGGAAAGCAACGAGGAACTCACTATCGCTGAGACGGAACATGCCAAGGGGACGGAGATCTTTTACTCTGTTGGCGATGCTGGTGAGGTGGGATTGGACGTCGGCTTGTTCAGACTTCAGGTTAGGGACAGACCAGGGCTGTTTTTTGTCTAGGGTAAGGACTTCCACGCCTCTCGATGTAGCGATAGCAAGAGACGTATGGAATAGGTTGATTCCATAACTCTCAGCGGGAATATAGAATTCATCATACTCGCGGAAGAACTCGGTTTGGCCTCGTCGGGACAGGAAGCGAGAACGGCTTGATGACGATTTTTGAAGAACAGGCTCCAATACCTACGGCCGTTAGTGAGTGTGCATTGGGGAAATAGTCATTTATGCGAACATACCTTGAAAGTGGAGGAAATGCCGTCTCTCTTCTTGTAGAATACCAATGCCCTGTCCTTCATGCGTCCCGCGGCAAAGAAGCCTACCTCTCGGTTCCCAGACAGCTTTTGCGGTGCGCGTCGTTGCGAGTCAGGCTGCACAGTGCCATTGACGGGACAAATTGAGTCCAAATGATACCCGATCAAGGACTTGTCGGAAATCAAGAGGAAGAGATTGAATTCCTCAAACACAGCAACCTGGGTGACACGCAACATCGAAATCCCCTTTGTCCATCCTCGAGGATCGTCATACGCAGAGATATATACGCCATAGTCTGTACCGATGGCACACATCATTTTCCCTGGAGGCTGCTGGAATACAGTCGCACAATTGACGGCCGCTCTGCAGACGGGTAACGGTCGAGACAGGTTTCGTTCATACTTCTTCTCAACTTCTCTGATGGCTCTGTCAAGAGGGGTTCCCTTGATAACAGCACTCTTGGGAGGAACAGCTTGGTCCGAGTAAGCGAAGGCTGAGTCTGATAGGACACGCAGTCTGAATGGTTCTGCGTTCTGAGCATAGAGGGCAGCAGCGTGTTTGGTTTTTGCTTCGTAGATCTTCTCACACCATTCCTGTCGTGACTGGGCCGTTGGGGCGTACAAAACGTAAACATCGCGTTTTCCGAGATGCTTGATTCTGAAGGGATAGAGGATCTTCTCGTCTCGGGAGTTTTCCAGGACGGTGGTGGTTACTGATCTGCCGGCTGCACCTGGGGTGGGAGAAGTTATTTGCGGTGCGGTTGCAGCGTGGGCCAGACCGGTTGGTGCCCCAGTCCGTGGATTAGCAGGAGCAATACCCTTTACTGCCGACCTGACTACCGGATCATCATTGGTGCTGACCAGGGTGAGAAGGTCCATGGGAATGGGCAGCTTAGAGACATCAAACATCTCATGCTTTATGCCAGCGGCATCTCTGTGGATAACTATCTTAGCCAGGACAAGGTAGTGGTCGAAGAGAATGGCTCGGATATCGACCCAGTTGAACCTCTTTGTCCTTGGCCGCTGCAAGTCTCCTTGATATATGATTTCGCGCCCAAGATGTTCCAGGTTGAGCTCGACGATGGACTTCATCTCCGGCCTCAGCTGCAGCTTTGCGCCTAGCTCCTTAAGGTCCATCTTCTTAGTCATTTCTCCAACTTTGTTGTCACAGTCCAGGGCAACAAGCTTGATCTCCTCAATAGCCTGTAGCAGATTAGATTTCTCTTCTGAATCTTTTTCCATGTTCTTATAGACGGTGTTGAGAAGCAGTGTATAACGCTGGATACGTGTGATAGGGGCCTTCAAGTACGTGTCCCAACTTAATCTGTTGGATAATCTGTTCTCACGAGCCTGGTTCAAGAAAGAGCGGAAGAGCATGTTCGATTCAGCTTCCCGGCGTACAAGGTAGTTGGCGTTGGGGAATGTTGCCGCATATTCAATGTAGGCTGCTTTGGCCTTTCGAATCCACTCTCGAAAAATGTCACTGAAGCCAACAATGAAGGAGCCCTGCTCTTTTTGCCTGTACTTCAGCTGAGCCAGTAGGTATTCTTCATTCACCCTCTTCACCGCATCAACTTTTCCAAACACGTCCCTGAGGAATCTATCGAGACGCTTGGGATTGATAACGGATGGCTGTGCAGTAGCAAGGGTATCTCTATAGAGTGTCCGCAGAACATCGAGCTGCGCAATATATGAATCTTCAGTGGTGACGATTTCGTGAAGGTTATTTTGGCGGTCGATCTCCTTTTTAGAGTGGTTTGAGAAGACTTCCTTGCCAATTTTGTAGAAGGTGGCCCAATCTTCAGCCTTTTTCTGCGCTTCCACCATTTTTAAGTTGATCTTCTTCAATGTCCTCATGCAGTGATGGGAGTAACATCGTCCGAAGATGTCGTATTCTTGGTTATGTAAACGGGAGGAATAGCATCCCTGGCCGGTGATCTGCCACAGGACACCAGACAATGTCCCTGGCCCGAATTTCACCCATTCCTCGTCTTTGATCAGTGCTCCTGCTGCAAACATGCTCTTGACGACTCTGTCACTGAGAGTCTCGGCGTCGGCAGTGTTCATCGTGGGCACTTTATGTGTGAGTAAAGCAACAATTGCGTCGACAATCGAATGTTCCTTTAGATCTGCCTCGTCTTCAGCTAGATCTCTTATCCAAGCCACAATGGCACTGATTGCCCATGGCTCCGTGCACTTGCGGAACTGTTCACTGGACAGTTTACCTGGGTGGAACTTCTTCCGCTTTCCCGCCGGTAGAACCGGGAGGTCAAGGGTGACTGATGGGGTTGACAGGGAGGAGTCATAGGCAGCTTGTTTAGACTTAACCCTGTCAGCATCTGTCTTGGAGCGAATGATTGCATCTGCGGACTTATGCGTGTTTGTATGGTCTGATAATGACGTTGAGCGAGGCACGGCAGAAGTAGAGTTGGAATAGGAATATGTGTCCGGAGAAGTCGGATAGGGTGGCATATGGTAGTGGTCTAGTGGTATTTGGCCAGTATGCTCGCTGGAGCGATATGTGCCTGCGGGCATGAGGTGAGGAAGAAGGTTTTGCGTGGTAACCGGGACGGGTGGGGGCGGTAGAGGTCTAGAGCTCATTCCAGGGTGAAAGAACAGGTCTTGAGGTTCCCCTTCTCCGGGAAGGTCGCTAAGGGAGCTTGTGGCGGACGACGGTCGTCTGAGAGCCGCTTCGTCCCCGTTTTCAAAGCTCATGCGACGATAAGCCGAAGGTTCTGAGAGTCCGCCGGTTCCGACGGTGTCTACTCTGGCAGTGGGCTCGATCCCTGGGAAGGGATGTATGGAGTCCTGGTTGATGCTTGGATAGTCATATTGATTGGGGGTGCTCCCTCTACCGTCCGGCTGGGAGCTTGCTCTCACCCCGTGCATCAAAGCATCTTCTCCATAGTGCATGTCGGCGCTGTATCCGCCACCATAGAGGCCAATGTCGTGGAGAGCAAAGTCACTGTCGCTGCTGGACTCTCCATGATGCTGCTGGTTTTGGGGAGGAGGAGGAGGTGGTGGTTCCTGATGCTGGTAACCGAACGAGCTCGTGGTAGATGTATGCGTATTCCGCCTTGCACGCATGGCGGCCTCTTCCTCATCAGCTACTCGCAGAGCTTCCAGCCCAGCAGCAACTTCTGCATCACTGTCGTCACTGTAAGCATTGTAATTGACGTACTGGCCGGTCCCAGTAGAGCTGATATTGCCTCCATTGGTATGAGTCTGTACTTCATCTGGCAAGAGCTGTACACCGGGTGAAACAGCTGAAGTCGGATAAGCACCATTATCTGATTCCTGGATCGGAGGCTGTTGTGGAAGCGGTCGTCTCGCCCGTGAACTGTGTCGGCGAGTGGTATCCGGTCTCCCTTCCATGACTGCAGCTTCTACCTGTTTGATAATGTCATCGTAGCTCGGCTCTACCTGTTCACGGCTATTTCGTCCTTCAGACTCAGTCGGCGGACCAGGAAGCGGCCGTGCCTGTGGATGACGGGTGAGTGTATCCGTACGCCTCGGGGAAGTAGACTGGGGGTTTTGATGAGCTGGAGGAGGCGGAGGTGGGGGGCTTGCTGGATAGGAGACATGTCTGGTAGCAGTCCTGTACCCTGCATCATGATGAACCGAGCTATGGGCGAGCGGATTTGGCATGTACTGGTAATCCGAAGTTTGCGCCGGAGGTTTGGCGGAAGAGTATCTCCGGATACGGTCGTTTGTGGCCTCGGTGCCATAGCTAACCGTCGACTGGGAGTGATTCGAGGGAGGATAGTTATAGGACGAGTATGAAGAAGGGTGCGCAGAAACAGGAGTGGCAGCAACACTCTGGGATGGCATTGGAGGGTATGTTGGGTGGTGGTGAGCTGTGTTGTTGCCGTATGGGAGAGAATAGTCATTGTAAGTGTCCAGCGGGCGAGCCGACATGGGACCCGGCGAAGTAGGCACAGCATGAGACGGAGGGAAGAAGGATGGCGAGGTAGAAGGATACGAGGTCTGCACTGGGGTTCCTGTAGACCAATTTCCAGCGGGAGACGACTGGAATGAACCCACCGAGGGCGAGGACTGGTACGCAGCGGGATTGTAGGGCTGGTGATGCGGCGGCTGGCTGGAGAACTGCGAGAAGACCTGTGGATTGTAGCCAGCCTGCTGCGGCGTGGGAGGAGGCTGCTGCTGCTGCGAAAATTGCTGGGGATTGTATGACGGCGGCTGCT